AGTGCAAAGGAAGTGGTAGATCTAATTTCAGGTACGAATTGACCCCTTCGCGTCGTTATTTATTATTTATTTTTAGTTATGGAAGAAAATTTCGGTTATTTTTACCTAAATTAAATTATTTTTCCAACTTTTGCAGAAAATTGCCTAAAATTCGCGAATTCACAAAAATGGCAAAAGTTGCGCTGAAGCCAAAAGTTGCATACGCAACTTGCGGGTTGTGCGCGCGAATTTCTCTGAGGACAGAATTATCAATGTTATGCTCACACTGTGCCGGAATAACATAGGGGTAGGCTACCAGACTCGTAATCGTGAGATTGCGGGTTTGGGGGTTCGAGCCTCAGCTCGGTCCGACGTTGTGTCCTTGGGAAAGACACTTTACACGAACTTCCCACTTGGCTCGGTCCTATCGGAGACTGACGTGAAACTAGGAAGTCCCCCGCCCCTTAAATAACTTAAGTGTCGATAAGGGCGTTAAACTCGTACCATTTTCACTTTTTTTAAACATAGGGGGAACTGCTGCTTTTTCTTTCCTCATCCTTACTATCGTCATTTTTTCCTCTACTTCTTTAGTATGTTTGTCACTCTTGTGAACTGCTATTTCCGAGGTGCCTTGATAGTCGAAGCAGATTTTGCACTGTTGAGGCTAGGGAGGTGAGCAGAGTAAGCCTGATTCCCCGTTTATACCTCTCTGTTGACATCCGCCCCTTGGCGCTCATATGACCTACAGTACATCATGTATACAGTTGTGAGCTCCGTAAATCTTATTAACGAGGTGCCCACTAAGGATATCAGGCTGATCGCCGATCTCGGTCGTCTCAAAAACAAACATGTTCGCTTTCAGTCTCAGGCGATCGGCCCGATCCAGCCGTAGTGGGTACCCCGTTATAAAATAAACAAACAAGGATGTAGATCTAGATCAATTTAATTCCCCCCCCCCCCCCAAAAAAAAAATCGCTCTAGATCTAATTTCCGGCTTCCGGTGAGAGAGAGATCACTCTAACTCGCTTCAGTTTAATTTTTTTTTTTTCGCAATTCTACATCTGAAAGTTTAACAATGCCGCAACATTTTTCAAAATTCTGCAAAAACTCAAAATTCCGCGGCCGCGCCGCGCAGTTGAACCATTTTTCCACGGCAGCGCCCGCGGAAAACTACAATGTCAGATCTGATATATAGGTTGAAATCATAGTAGACCCGGCCTGTTTCATTTTTATAGACGCCGTTCTTTTGGAGAAGAATCAACCCGGCTGAACTGCAGCTATGTGGCGCCACCATCGACGGGCGTGGACCGCCATAATAATAGTACATGTATAGCAACTGATGATGGCTGGAGGATGTTGCAAGATGTAGTACTAGTAGTAGTAGGTCCTTTTCTCGTTATCCACAGAGCCGTTACTTTTTTTCCCACCCAAAACACAGCAACTACGGTACAGTCCATGCTGGCTTTAAGCACGGTCATCGGGAGAAAGTTTAAGCGTGCTTAAAGCCGAAGCGTGCTTAAGTGCGAAGTAGACATAATCCAGAGATTTTCAGGTAGAAAATTCCGCGTGCTATTTCCCTTTGTTTGTAAGTAGGCCTATAGCGGTCCCGCAAAAGTGTGCACTGTTATTTAGACACCCGCCATGGTAGTTTTTGTTCGCTTGTTTGTTTTTGTTTTGTGGTCGAATGGGAAATAAATACTTAATTTAGTAGGTACCAGAAACTAAATTTTCAAACTACCTGTATGCCAAATTAATCTGTTCCATTTGAAAGGCCTATATCCACTGAGCATTTTGGTACCATTCTTTAACCTCTCCGTCAATTTTTAAGAAAATTGTAGTTGTTTAAAATTTGATCAAATTTGTTAAAGTCAGTCACTGGCTGCAACCCCATGTTTGACAGACAATAAAAAAGTAACAAGTGCACTAAACATCTCCACATTAACAGAGTACAATCACTATAACAAATATATGGAACATAATTTTTTTCAAGACTGTGAGATCCTTACAAATCAGTACTTTATCACCTCAAACACGATATCTGTCGTTATTTCGACAAAAACACCGAGCGTTGACCCGGCCGGCGTTGCACCGGCCCCCGCGGCGAGCGAGTCGGCTCTATACTGTAGTGTTCCCCGCGTGCGGGGTCACATGCTTTCTGAGTCTCGCAGAAGGATTGATGTAAGATAATTCCAATTTAATTACTTTATTCTAATAGGAAATGAACTGATCTTTTAATTAATACTTTTCATAAGCCGGTATTTTACATATTTTTTGTAAAAAGTGATCTTTAAACACTTTGACGGTATTTTTAAAAGCTTTCTATAAAGACGCCACAGGCTAAACTTATATCACGGGAAAGCCCGTTTAAAGCTCTACAGCTGTCCGCCAATGAAAAGACGGTATTTAATCATCCCTCGTTCCGCGAAGCATTTGAATGCAGGCGTGTCAAGTTTTCACCCGGCCGACCTCGCATTCTGACCGCGAGGGGCTTCGCTTTCGTCGGCGATTCTCCAGCTCCTAATAAACGGACATATAAACAACTTACACCATTGTAACGAGGAGAAGCTGAACTTTTACAAGGTGTATGGCATTTGGTGTTTCATAGCGAAAGAGCAAAGAAACAGCGATCGGAATTAACCCGATTTTACCGATACCACGCGGTTGGAAGGCCACGAGTGCCCGCGAGGCTGTGTTTACGCTACCTAATTATAGACGGCCATTCACGATACAGCACATTAGGCCTACTGTAACACACTGCCTGTGCATACCACCGCCTTCATCCCACCTCGCACTTGATGCACAATCAGGATTAATGGAAAGCGGGGGTCAAAGGTGAAATCGCAGCCAGCCTCCCCTTCTCGTCTCCCCGGCTCTCTTTGTATTTTTTTTGGGGGGGGGGGGGTCGTGTGTAGCTTTGCTTGACACACTCACTGCTGCAGTGTAGACTGTTCGAACTTCGAAGAGCCATCATGAAAATATTGACTGTCTTGTAAATGAAGTGTGCTTGAAGCCGAAGTTACCGTGCTTAAAGGCGTGTAATTTATATAGCAAAAATTCGGTAAGAGCCGTTTAGCGTGCTTGAGTCCGAAACATGCTTAAGGCCAGCGTGCTTAAAGCCGGCACGGACTGTACCATAATGCTTATAAATGATATCTCTTCCGCTCTCTCTTTCTCTTCAAGTTTTTCCTCTTTAACCCCTTCATGACACAGGGTTGGTTCATGCTCCACCGGCACCAGGCACAGTTTTGGATCCCCAGGGACAAAGAGTAGCACTAGATTTAATGGTCAGTTGCCTATAATCAGACCTGGTTTGTGAATACTACTATTACTATCTCTAAAAGTGTAAAAGGAAAAGATTTCTTAGTTCGGAATAATATCACTAAATATGAATCTGAAATTTGTATGAAATGCATCTAATAGAAATAGTATGTAGAATACAACCTACGACGAACACCGTTCGACATCATGGTCCTTACCCTTCCCAATGCATGATGAACACCATACATCACAGCAGCATCTTGGCTCTACCATTTTAACCCCAAAAATGGCGAACGGCTTACATCATATAGGTCATGAAAGGGTTAAAGTATCTTGGTGGCAAAGCTTTGGTGTCAGGAAACACTTTCTAATAACTAAGCAAAATAGACTAGGCCTACACATTTCCATCCATTAATAGAAATTGACACAGAAAAACAAACCTTATGAAGGTGAATGAATGGTCTTTCACTTCTTTAATATTATTGAAATACTTTTATGCAATGTAATTCAACATATGAGTGAACATAATAGCAATTTTATCAACACTGGAATATTTTGGTGAATAAGAAATCATCACTGTATCTCAGTGATTGATAAATATAAGAAAAAACCCCTGACCTCTTCATCAGTTCATATATCTAACAATTTTCTTCCACTCAAGAGACGACAAACAATAGCATGTAACTAAAAAATAGAAAGAGCAAAACAATGTAACATCATTTCTCTTTCTGCATAAAGAAATTACACCTCACCTACAATAATTACGATCACTGAAATTCAATTGGACAAGTTTGAAATATTTCATTCAATCCAGTACAAACAGGTAAAAACAATGATCAATTTGGCAGAAAGAATAAAAGAGCCTTTATTAATAAGAGGGTACTGTAAAAGAAAGAAATGACAAATCGCATCCACATTCTGTGCAAGGCAAAACATCTCTGATCACATCAGATGTCACTTTGTCCTATCCACTTAGGAAATGCGAAGGCCTTGAATGCTCTTCTCCAGAGACTGGTAAAAGGAAAAATAAAGCATAGATGAATTAGATGAGCTTTTGTTCAATAAAAATGAGCCTTTGTTCTATACTATTAACTCACTGCAGATACCCCACCAATACACTGCTTACTTTCCTGGACAGGATAGATAATGGCAATACATTGGAAAACTCAACTTGGCCTACAAGTACTAGATCTCAATTCTTGGCTGCAATGTAAGTCTGTAGCTATACACAGCCAATATTGTAATTCAACATGTTTTTGTTTTTTTTTACCCATTTGAGAATTGAATTACCTTTCCACTGATGTACAGTACATGTATGCATATATGGAAAAATTGAAACTTTTAGAAGCCAGCACTCTGCAGACCTTTTTAATTTTGTGTGACTTTGTCCCTCAAATATAATTTTGTCCAGACAGTGCCATTGCTTGATTTTAATCACCTCCTCAAAAGAGTTAAATAGATTTATGAGACACTTTTTCTAATCTTGTTCTTTAAGCCTCAAAAGCAGCAACTCAGTGTTCAGGGTTTGATACAAATCGTAGATAAAAGTATTTGAACCACAGCTGAGACAAAAAAGGAGACATAATACTGCTGTTGATGCTATACTATTGACACTATACATACTATAGAGCACCCAACGTAGAGCAACCATTGTTTATTGTCCAAGGAGGGGGCGAAAAAATTTGTGTCCAAACCGTGGCTCAAACCCGGACTTTCTGCTTCAGCCACCGCACCCTCGACACATATGTAGATAATAATAAAATATATTTCCTGTACATGATTTTTACCTCAAAAGGTAGAACTTTTGAAAGAATAAAAGATACCATGGACATCATTACAATTTTACAAAACAAAATGAACTCAACAGAAACAGATAATAAGTAAATAATGAAATGCAAAAGAACTCACCCTGAGATCCCAAAGAATGAGGGCACCATCAACCCCAGTGGTGACAATCTTGCTGGCATCAGACTTGCTGCCAGTGTGGATAGACACTTGGCTGAGGAGAGGCAAGGGGACAATTAGAGCTGTCATCTACAAGAGCTGGGCAACGCACATGTACAGGTCTACTGTTCCCTTTATTACTATCTCACTTCAAAGGTCACTGTCCTCAAAGGCTTTATCAAATCTCTTATTATTATTATCTTTATTATAATTTTTTTCTCAAAATTCAGCTTACCATTTTTTAGCTCTTGCTTTTGAGAATTAGACTGTCCTCAGAGAAAGTTGCATTTGAAAATAGCAAAAGTTGCAAAAAGTTGCAAGAAAAATTAGCAAAAGTTGCAAGAAAAGTTGCAAGACGTGTATAGCTAAAACAATGTCACAGACTATTGGAATACACTGTTACTATGCACATTGCAATAAAAAGTAACCAATATGAGTTTTTTTTAGATCGAAATCAGAAGTTTAAAAAAGCACCAAAAAAAACTGCATGGTGTACAAAAACAGTTTGTCCCCTGACACGTGTGTCAGGTCCTTAATAAACTCTCGCTGACGTGGGGCAGGTGTGACCAGCGTGGTTTTGGGGCTGTTCAAATATAATCTTACACTTTGTTTGGGACCCCCCCCCCCCCCCCCTCCCTTACACTTTCTTTTAACTCACTTGCCACTGGGCCCTTTCACCAGTCACAAGCGTTGAAGACTGGCGTTTTTGGGGGTATTTCAATAAATCACCACAACTCTCAGAATTACCCTATTGTAATCATTTTTTGACACAGTAAAGTAACATTCAAGCTTAATCTAATACAAAAAAACTAAAGTTGTCTAAGTCTAATACTTCAATTTGTATGATTTTTAAAAAATTGGCATGAATTTGATTTTCCGAAAAATTCACAACAACAACAAAAATAAAAGTTCAAAGTGTTCTGGTTTGATTTGTATACATGTGCAAGTGTTTGGTGAAAATATAAAAGCTGGTCTGTGCATTGATTCAGACCCATACACTGAATTACATTTGACAGATGTACGGCACGACGTTGTGATTTCGTTGCGCGAAAAACAACACCGGTACTAGTGGTATCTAGCCCTAGAACTACGACTCGGGCCATGTTCGGGTACATATCCAGGATCCTAACTATTAGACACATCATATTCTGAGTCACTAGAACTAGTAAAAGGCACAGAAGTATAGAAAACGGCGAAATTATGTGATTCTTGTTCATGCGACTTCTTCGACCGTTACTACGACGCGACTGTCGGATTACTATCAGCTGTATAGAAAAAAACAAAGCGCGAGTTCCGGTCTGTTCAACCCCAGTTGGGGTCACTGTCCTTCACCTTCAATAACTTAAAAACTACCGGGCCCAGAGATACGAAACGAAGTCTAAGTAGCTCAGGCTTGGCCAAACAAGGGTACGAGGCGGGTCTCGCGATCCGTGCGTGATTTGTAGAGCGAAAAAAAAATTCCAAAGTTGGTCACGCAGGGCTTGTGAGACCCGTCGCCAGCGTCGCGGCGGGGATCACGCAACTGTTGTGTGACCCATCTGAGGTGAGTTAAACTTTCCCGCCCCGCCTCCCTCCCCCAATCCCGTAATATTACGTTATACGCTTTTAATCGCTTTTAATAATAATATGAATTTATATTGCGCAAATCCGTGTTACAATCACTCAGCTATGCGCTTTACTTTTAAATTATGAAAAATATGCATACACACGTCATGTGACATGACAATAAAATACGGAACAAGCGGAACTTTTCCAGAAAAACTTATCGTGTCATTTTACCACTTTAACTGCACCGGTGTAATCAAAATTAGACTAGATCTACATGTCATGTAGCCCAGATATCTACCAGTGTATAAAGTGCGAGATGACATATTATATATCGTGCTTGCCGCTTAAGGCCCATCGCCACAATGCCGTGCTTACCGCTCGAACTTACTCTGAGTGAATAGTGTACAGTAACTCTCTTTTTATATTATTTTTTTAAAAATACGTTGTCATAAAATTAGGTTTTCTTTGATTATTTTTTCACCTAACAAAATTGTAATCTTACATTGGTTCAACCCCCCCCCCCCTCCCCGTTCTTCATTACTTGAATGTCACCTTTAGGGGTTTTCTGGGTGAATCGATCAATGTCTAGATCTAGCCTCCTAGCCTAAGATTTAAAGTCTTTCACAAATTTTTATACCAGATCTATCTACCTGGTGCTACGGAACCAAGCAAGCTAAATAATCAGACGACCGTGTTTACGATTGATTTACTCTAGATCTAGCTAGACTAGAAGTAGACCTGCATGTGAGCCTCAACCAGATTGTCTGAAAATTTTGCGCAACCCCCCCCCCCCCAAAGAGCTTTTGTGGGTGTCATAAGGAAGGACTTCCGAGTAACGAGCGACCACCCCAACAAACACAACAAAGAAGAGACCTAACCCTACCCCTAGGCCTACCCCAAAAATGAACCTGCAACGAGCCTCATGTGAAAAGGCCAGCACAAGTCCAAAATGAAAAACATTTTTAAAATTAAAAAACCACACTCCAAAACAAACAAGGCTTACAAGGAGCATAATATAATGGCCTACATCTACATATATTGCTAGATCTATAATCGAAGTGATTATTCGGACTCGAGTCCGAATATGAAAAAATGTTATTCGGACTCTGATTCTTGTCCAGCATGACATCACTTCCGACTTCCTGTGACTCGTGAATCCGGCTTCCTGTCCTGCCTCACTCGTGACTCGCCTCAGGCTGGGTAGAGACCGGGATCACTTCGGGCAAAAAGGTGTTTTGTGCAGGAGCCGAGTTTTAATCTTACGATGAATTTGAGGCCGGCCTGAAAAGTTATAGCTCTTCTAATAAATGTTTATTTGTCAAGAGGTCATCAGAAGCAATTAAAGTAGCAATGCCCACCGAGCGCATTTTGTTCTGCCGATTTTTGGCACCCGTAACGCAAAGGTTGTTGTCTTCAACTCGCTCTCACGCCGCTTCTCGTGAATGGATATGAATGAAACTTGGCAGCCAATCAGAAAAGAGGTCAATCTCGTAGTATGCAGTTTGACAACATTGTACCCATCCTAGAAGCAGTCGAAAACGTTTTCGAAAGTGGTTGATGTGGTGCGCTTTGAAGGTTTTTCGGAGCTGTGATTTGTCAAACTGACTGATACGTTGTACACCATTTTTCTTTATTCCCTTAAAATTTCATGCTTCTGTGTTTAGCGGTTTTGGCGTAATCTTTAAAAATGTGGGAGTAACTAAGGAAAAAAGCGACATTGCCATTTGCGCGTGCTGGGTGAACGGCCAGCGGCGTGGAAATTTCCACTGAGTGACGTCATCAGCCATCGGTCGCCTCGGGCGCTACAAACGAGGCCCCGCTTATGTGAAATGGAAAGGGGGGGAAGGATACTTGAAAACTAAACGGGGGCCTTGATAACTTGCGTTTTTGTTGCATTTTAGTCACAATACAATAGATGTAGTCATTTTTATTTGCTTGATTGCATGACAGAAGAATAGAAACAGAAAAGCAAACTTCTTGAGAAGTGGTATGGCATTGTGTTTGCGTTATGAAAGCCTATTCCCCCCTCTTGAGAAAGCACACACTTGGACTCGTCCTGTGTGCTCTGTTTGGGAAAAGTGAGGCATTAAGATTGTTATTAAAGAGTATGGTACTTATTTAGTCCAGTCTGGGAAGATAGTCCCGTTTATACATTGTTATCGTTCACGCGTGCGTGCGTGAGTGCGCGCTCGTGAGAGAGAGAGAGAGAGAGAGAGAGAGAGAAAGAGAGAGAGAGAGAGAGAGAGAAGGGGGGGGGGTGTAAATATGTTACATTTATTGTATGAGTTGTAGCCTACACATGCGAAATATTCCCATGACTTGTAAACTATATTATCTGAACGCATCTTAATCTACCACACAATAGGACACTGTCCAACAATGGATATACACAGAGACGATCTTATTTTCTATAACAAAGTATGCATGCTTTTACTAGTACAAAACTGGATTTATTAGTAGCTCTCTACTTACATTTTTGTGACAAATTGATCCAGAATATTGCTTGGCAAGGAAGAACCTTTTATGTTGCCAAGTTTCATTCAAATATGACTTTGGGAGAACATATGACTGATAATCTTTGTAAATCTGTAAAGAACGCCACTTTTTTACCTGTTAATGTCTTTACAACTCAAAAAGTATGATAGATATTAAAAATCTGACTGCATGACTAAATTCTGCATTAAAAAATGTACTAGACTGCCAAGTTTCATTTACATATTCAAAGAAATAGGCGAGCTATGACAAATATTGTCTCAAAACGCACCGAAAAAGACCAACATTTTTACCTATAAACGTCTTCATAACTCAAAAAATAGGATAGCTATGAAAAATCTGAAAGCAGGACTAGATTCTGCACTAGAAAATGTACTGGGTTGCCAAGTTTCTTTTTAATACTCAGAGAAATGAGCGAGTTATGACGAATATTGTCTCAAAACTCACCAAAGAACGTCCCATATTTTGGGGTTTTTTCATTATATAAAAGTGTACCAGAAATTAATTGATTAAAAAATCCGTAACTTTTTTGTTTATTGATGGATTTTAAAAATTCAAAAAGTTCTATGCTCAGTGAAGATAAAGCTACAAAATGCACCTATTTGCAAACATTTTCTGGCAAAAAAAGGATTTTCGTGGTCATTGCTAATTAAAGATGGCTCGTTAGCGTGTGTCGGGGTCGGATGGGCGGCCTGCACACGTGTGGCTGTGTGCGTGTCGGGGAGGGTGGTTTTGGGGGGGGGGGGCACTATCGGTCCGGGCTTTGAACGTCGCATACGCGTCAGTCTTTTTCCCCTGGCAACTGATCATTATTACAATAATAAGCTAGTCTTGACGTAGATCTACGTAATGAATTGTGCGCTGGTCTATGGAATCAAAAGTTGCCGTATGCTCAGCTCTACACAGCAACACAACTTTTTCTTGGTAAACAATCGAATGACACAGGCTTGTGTATTTGAACGAATCGGTCTTTTTTTTTTACACAGCTAATAATATGCAGGTGCCAGGTGGTCTGCTAATCTTCAATTTTACCTTTTTCTACAACAAAGAAAGTAGGAAACGTTGGGGGGGGGGGGGGGCGTATCAATGAGGCGGCGGGCATTGGATCGGCAGATAAGGTGTGGGGAAAACTAAAAAATGGCGGAAAATTGGAAGCACTGAACGTTAGATCTATAGAACGAAGACACTTCCTTTTTTCCGGACCCGAGTCTGAATAACATTTTTTCATATTCGGACTCCAGTCCGAATAACGACGGCCATCTATAATAATAGGGTTTGATACAATAACACAATAGAATTGGAATATGAATACTCCATATAGATCTGGTAAACTAAATAAATCTAAATCTAGATCTAGAAGAACAAGTGAATTGGATCTAGGAATAGGCCTTGAACTAGATCTAGAAATCCGCATCCGATTCCGAACAGAGGGGCTCAGCTGAGTCTAGATTCTAAATAAATAAATAATTCACGCACCTGATGAAATGCCTTTTACCAACATTAATATTAAAGCACAACCTTTGATAGGGTTTGACAAAATAGAATTGGAATATGAATCCTCCATTGAGGTCTATAATGATCTAGAGTATATTATCTAAGTGAGTCGGACTGGAATGAATCCACACGATCTGAACAATTGAATTTGTCAACAAAACGAAATTCAAAATGGCCGCTCGAGCACGAAACTGAAAGTAAATAATTTAGGTCGTCGTCCTTTTTCGTATTCGCATTTCTACTCAGGTTCCGACAATTATGTCGGAAGCGCCGACGTCGGCAGTCGGCGGTGCGCGCGTCGGCGGTCGGTACGAAAACGAAAGTGCCGACAAAGCCGACAGGAGAAAAGGGGGACACAGGCAGTCGGCCAGGCCTCGCACTACGCACATTGACTGATACAGGTGGGCCTAGCGATAGCATCGGCCGCCTCGCGGGTCGGGTCGCGTCGCGATTGTCGGATTTCAGACGATTGTCGGCAAACATGCAGGTCTATAGAAGATGATTCAGTTCAAACAAGACTATTTGGTCGGTTTGCTCGCCAGATTGATGGTACAAAGCGGCTATCGTGGCACAAGTCGATCGTGCCCGACTCGTTTCAAAACAAACACGTTGTTTTCAGGGTACAAGTCGGGCAATCATCCCGACCCGACCTGACCTGGTCCGGGTCACTGGGCGCCGGGGGGAACCCCGTGGTGCGAAGGAGCGAATTGTCCCCCTTGACGTCGTTATTTTTAGTCGTGGAAGAAAATTTCGTGTTTTTAATGAAATTTTACTTTTATTTTCCCAAATTTTGGGGGAAATTGGCTAAAATTCGTGAATTCACGAAAATGGTAAAAGTTGCGCGAAAGTTGCGCTGAGGGCAAAAGTTGCCCGCGCAACTTGCGGGTTGCGAGCGCGAATTTCTCTGAGGACAGATTAGAGACTGATTGCAGCACAACTGCTACAAAGCACTTTATGTCTACAAGTAAACAGCTAGCCATATCTTTTCCTGAACAGACATTTGGACAAGAGCTCGAGGTGTAGTTAGTCTTTGCCTTAGCACACACACGCAAAACAAATACTGCAGCGGCCAATATAGAGAGTGAAACAGTCCATGTTGATGCCACAGACCTATACATAAAAGCAAAACATTGCACAACCTCTCACTGTTCACTCCTGGGGAGTAAAATTTGACCATTGACCCCTGTTCTTCCTACTGTATACAAGTAGGAGAAGAGCCATGAAAAAGAGCATGTGACTTACGTGATTGTGTTCTGATGCTGGGTCTTCAGGTCAGTGGCTGTATCACTTGCAGTGGCTTTCTTATCCAGGTTCTTGAAGCGATTCATGGCACTGGAAAATAAAGATTAACAATAAATATTTCACAATATGCCCGCACTGAAATGTCAGCTACACAAAAATAATTTTGGAAAAAGAAATTCTGAAAAGCTCTCAACATTAATATTAAATGTTTTGTTTTTTTAATAAATAAAAGGAAAACAAGTGTCTCTATTCTATTTTTACAGAATAATACCTAAAATACTCGTATGTCTCCATCCCTTCACTGATTTGTTTGTCTCTTGGTTTTGACAAACACTATAATGTTCAACAACAATTTCTTCTTTACAACAGTGAAATACAAAACCTTTATGGTAAGGACAAACCCTACCTAAAGTAGAAAAGGAAAGGTCCCATGAAAATATGTTCTTACATTAAAACATCCATCACCTTAACATCAGACATCATAATTAAATTTAACACACGTACATATTTTAACACAATGGAAGTCTCCATCATGAGTACGTGCACATGATAACAGTGTAACAAAGTCAGAAAGTCGGCCCTGACACGCCCCAAGGCTTATTCGAGAACTGAGATGTTTAACTTTCCACGTACATAATAAATCATGTAGGGCCTACTTCTGTGGCCAGATAAAACAAGTTAAAATTCAGAAAAGATTTTTAAAAAACAATGGCTTGAAGCCAATATTGTAAAAACATACAAAAACAAAGTTGTTTCCAACTGAAAACTTTCTTTAACACTAAGACTGCCATCAGGATGTTATAAAAAGTAATGCCAACACAATGAAACGACTGGCAGTGCAAGCATCAGACGCTGCCTTCTCCTCAGATTATCTCATCAATGCACACACACAAGCATCCAATGTTATTGATTGACTCAGGGGCCTATTCACATTATTAAACCGGATACAGCATTCTCTATCCTTCTATATTTACCATGCAAATGGACATAACCGAATGAATTTCATCAATTTAAAAAATAAAATTTGCACACAAATAGGAGCTCAAATAAAAAAAAAACCCTGTCAAATTAACTAACAACAAAAGTTTTACTTTATGGACAGAGAGGGCATTGCCACAGAAAAGATTATAAGGACGGGAGAGTGCAGCAAACAGAAGAAACCATCTCGTATAAAATGACAAAGAAGTTTTAATAGAAAGATAGGTCTTGACATTTTGTCAGGTGAGAGAGAGGGCAGATGATTAAAACTAAGATCGACCCATATCTGTACATTAAACATAACTTAGTGAAAAGGAAAATATGAGATTAAAATGTCTTTCTTTAATAACAGGATGCCTCCAAACACAACAGTACCTTGTCAGCTGCATTCCATTTAAATCGCTTACCAGAAAAAGTACATTATGTTAACTGAAATCACTCAAACCCTTCCTTTATCCTGATAGGCTTACCTCTGGAAATATTTCTGTTATCAGAAAGGAACTTGCTGTAGGTTAATTAAGCAAACCATATTATGACGAACACAAGTTCATTCCACATGCTTCAGATAAGGAGAGACTTTAATAGCAACTGCTGGACTGTAAATTACATTTTGTTCAGCATCTTTCAAAAGACAATTTATGTCTTTACACCAAACAGTCAACAATTAAGACATTTGTTATACAGTGGAATCCTGTTATAACGAGAGGGAGGGGACCGGAGCAAAATGTCCGTTATAGCAGGATTCTCGCTATAAGGGATCCAGTAATAAATTCAAGGGAAACTGTAAAGTAGGCCTAATCTATGAGTTTGGTGTTCTGTTTATTTACTTTTACTATCTCCCCTGATGATGATTTTGTTTCGACATGCCCTCTAGGTCTTACTCGATAAAAAATCGAATCAGGTTTCTTTCTCTAGCGCTAGATCTAGCGATGTTGACCGGCAGCTCGGCGTTGGCGATCAGAAAGAAAGGGCTCTGGGCTAACTCGCCCGCTGTGTTTTCCCCCACCCCACCACACCCTGAGGTGCATTCCGTCAGCTTACGCACGTCACACATTCGCTCTTTCCATCACAGCATTGTAACCTCTCCATCCCCGCATCAGAGAAGTGAGAGGCGTTGTAGGCCTTGATAATATAAAGTAGGCTTATGCTGGCCTATCATGCGATGCGTTCTGCTTGTCTGCGCATGCCACACCCTCCCCACTCATTCGCTCCGGCCTTCATCGTTGACACACTTGGGCTCTCCCATTCTTTGTTTCGCTAGATCACCAATAAGTTTCTCAACTGGCGAGGTTTTACATATGTATAATTGGCCTATACGCTGTGCACAGCAGCAGCAATATTCCGCTATAACCGACTGGCGTGTTTGTCTGACTGCGCTATAGCAGTATTTTATTTACAAAGATAAAAAAGAGAAATAAAAATGGTTTTAGAATAGTGTCTTTATAACCGACTTCTCGTTTTTTCCGGACTCGTTATAAGTGGACTCCACTGTACCATGCCAGTAGCAAACATTAATATAAACATGTTTGTTTGTTTTTTCTATACAGAGCTCAATCTCAGGAGTGTATCATGGGCATTTTTGGCAAAACTGAATTCTAAAAAACACCAGAGTACACACCCTAAACCTTGAAAAATTGGAATAACTCAAGTCAGTTACAGTAAGTATGATAAAGACCTTTTTCATGTGCAGAGTAATAGGTGAAATAAGTGTCAAATGAAACTGACAACAGGATACGAGGGCATACCTGCGATCAGCAATCATTGTGACAGACTCCACTTAACCACTGATGTATAGAAACAATTTTTCCAGTGAAAATAATAACTTAACCTGTAGTTTTAACAACAGCTAGAAGAAATAAGCGCTCTGCTCGTCCCCTTTCACTAAGTTACTTCCAAGGTGTGACAGCTCAAGCCATGGGGAACAGAGACTTAAAACTATCACATTCCTCTGAGACTGTAAACCTGTGCTTGAACTCTTTGTCTTCAAGCACATTGCGTAAGATCCCCCCTCTCAACCATCTGTCGCTTAAATTAACTGGAAGTCCTTGAAGCTGTTGATTTTTGTAACAATTTTAAAAATTCCCATCCTCATTTTACTTTTCTCTAATGTTTCACTCAATCTGTGCTGCCATGGTCTAAATTTTTCCTGACACTTTTCACTTTCATTGTTGTACACCATCAATTTGTTAACACAAACATGCATCTCCGCATTCAAGATAGAAGTGATTTTAAGATCAATTAAACAAATAGGAGCAAACACATTCATAAGTTTAAAAAATGCATGATAAAAAAAAAAAATTTAATTCGAGACTTCTTTCTCTAAAAAATTGGAATTGAAAGCACGCAAACTGCAATGCAATTAAGTCACAAATTCAAGGTCTTCAAAGTACACAAATCAACATACAGAACGGCAATCTGGGAAAATCACCAATTCAATGCCTTCATCAAATATGCATTTAGTGTTAATGGTTTTGACTGCCATGCCTCCAAACCTTGCAATCACATCTATTTCGCTCTCTTCATCTTCCGCATCTGAATTCTGGGTGCCGTTCTCATTACCCGCATCACTTACACTTGGTAACCTGTCAAAGCTTTGGCCTTTAGCTCATTGACATTAATTCAAATTTCAGATAGAATGAGAGAAGAGGTATATGCACAAACAACGTAAATTTATAACACTGTTAGAAATCATGATTTATCTAATAATAATAATAAGGCTAGATCACTTCTATTTCTATAGCGCCCAGCCCCTGGAAGCTTCAGGTGCTTATCTGTCAACTTTTAGCCTCTTGCATGTCAGTCTGAACAAAGAAATGTGCTCAAATTACATACTTTTCATACGGTATACAAGGACAACTATCATCATACAAGATCAAAACAAACGTTTTCTTGTTTTACCCCCCTCCCCCCCCCCCCAAATGTATTAGATAAAAATACCCCAAAAAATTTAATATCAGCATACGACAAGAAGACGGAACTTTAGGATGGTTTTTAAATCTATTCATAAAAACAACCAATAGTAGTCCATAAATTTAACTAAAGCAGATAACCCAAGAACGCACTGATTGATGCAATTTGCACAAAACTGAGAAATTGCACTATTTAAAAATGTATATTAATTATTCCTTCCAAATGATCATACACAGTAATACATATTTTATGAGGACTGACCTTTGTGATCTTGCTGTTAGGCAGACATACTTACAAACAAGATGTCATAGACTCCTTAGGTAAGACACTCCATGGTTAACACCCTCTCTAAACCATTGCATGACCCGAGTACTACCACCCGCTGAGGAGGGCAACTGCCACAGGCAAGCGTTCACTCCACTAGCTGTTTAAGCGCATCAACTGGTCCGCTTATCGACAAGCTGTAGATCTGTTGGACTTAACATTTCTTAACCAAAAGCTGTGGCCAATAGACTGGCATGTGGGGTTTGTTTAGAATACCAAGCAATGTCAATTGGGACACTCTCAGATGGCGACCCAAAGAGTGTGTCCTTGAGCAAGATGAGCTCACACCTCCCTCCCCCCAGTATAAAAAAGGCTCAGTATTGATAGTCTCCCTATGTTTGAAATTGTCTATTTATCACAAATTTCCCTAAGCAGGGGACAAACACAGTCTCATTTCCTTAATTTGTCTTACTTTCACAACTCAAAGAGAGAGATTTACAAGTACATGCCCATTTACAAAATAGCATTCACCTCATAGTGCTGGACTCCTTCTCCTGAGGTTGATCAAGCTTCCCAACCAAGGTGATTTTCCCACCATTGAAAGAGAACAACATTGGATTGCAGTCATAGCCCTGCAAAAATGGACAATGACAATCTTTATTCATCTCTCAGGGAGTAATTTATCTCAGAAATCAAACCATAACCATTCAATTAATAAATAATCATTCACTATCATTAGACATAGGGGCAGAGTTCCTAGAAAGCTAAGAATGTCTCGGAAAGCAATAGTTTTAATAATAAAATGTTACATTGAGAAGGACCATTTTTGAGAAGGGATTTGCGCTCAGTAATATCAATCTTATGCTATAATTAGTCCACAGTGAGTCAGCTACACAGTGGCCACACTTTGTCAGACATATGTAAGTCAACAAAAGGGATGATTTAAAAAAAGAAAAATGAGAAGGCATCACGAGAGCCCAACAGCCACCAGAAGCCGTAAAATAAAGCACAGACTAAAATGAAACAGATAAGGCGTCAGAAAATGCCATTACATAACTTCTACCTCGACTGAGATTAGAGACATTCCATTTTTGTATATCACTTCCTATGTATTAAAGCACAAGAGAAGTCTGTCGATACTTCGAAGACCACAAACAGATGGGAGAAGATAAGACAGCAAACAAGTAAAAAATAGAGAATAATAGAATACTAGGCTCTAGAAATGATAGATAAAATACTTCAAAAACGTCAGACATGATGTTTATGTATTTCTATTTCATGGGTACATACAGAAAAAGTACTTACAGCAGCCACAACACTGTTCTCAGTGATCCAAGAAATGCTCATGAAAGGCAGAAATGCGCCCTTGATCACCTGCAGTCTGAAAAGAAATCAGTAAATATGAAATTCACTAAAAGAAAAACCCATGAAATTATTTCTTGACTTTCTTTTCTTTTCTAATCCCCCCCCCCCCCCCCCCCCCCACAAGCATGCTACAACTACTAGCTAGAAAAGCAATGGCACAATGAGACATCCGTTGACAAAACTCATCGCTACAAATAAATACAAATGGACAATATGACTATTATAAAAGGTAAAAAATAAAGACAATAAAAGACACACATACACACTAATAGACAAATGAGGATAATCATCAAACTGTCCAAGAACTTACTCATTTCCTTTGGTGGCATCAACAATAGACACACTAGCATCATGACCCACCCAGGCCACACGATCTCCACTGGGGGAGAAAGACACAGAGTGGACCCAACCACCTGGCAGAAAAAAGAAATACATTACTGTCATCTCAAGCAGTTGTTTGAGAAAATACAAAAACAATGACACAGCAAAGGTTAATTAGTGCTGGCGAAAAAGAAAGACAGACAAAAACAACTGAAGGAGAGAAAATTAACAGACCAACACAAGTAGCATCCTCCAACCATCCACCTGTACAGTCGAATAATGATCATACATGAGAAAGCAAAAGAATAGAGTTCAGAAGGGACTTTGGCGACTAGAAACAAGGAAAATGAAAGCATCTTCTGGAAATTAATTTCAGCCAAAAAGAATATATGACAAAGGAAAAAAGAGACCTTCATAATCACATTTAAAGTGAGCATTTAACTTTAAATTCAAACGCATTTTGTGGGTCCATCATTACGAAAGAGAAAAGAGAAAACCTCTGTGTACTTCCAGCACATGAAAGCCTAAGTTAATTGTGCTGTATTATAAAGTATGAGAAGAACCCTAAAGGTAGCCACAATGCTCTGAAGCAGACATCTGCAGCTTGGACCATATATTTCAAAGAAAAAGAAATTGAAAAATATGCACTCTGACAATAACTTCTACTGTGTAATATATGAGTAAAAGACCAGCTGGTCTCCCTACCTCCTCCATTGCTGAACTCTGCCATCAGAGCTCCAAATGGCATTTTTGTACCCCACGAGCAAGGGCCTGGCTTTTCATCCACTTCTTTCTGGTAGCCAGAAAAGACTCTAAAAAAATAATCACCATGCAACATTTCAGCAATTTTACATCGTTTAAGAACAATGTCTAAAAGTAAGCTCACTCCACCTAATGAGTATAAGAAATCAAACCAATCTAAAGATACTTTAACATGATTTCACATCAATATTCATTACGGTTAGGCTGTCCAAAAAGTAAGGTGAAAATGGTGACAAATAAAAGTTACACCTCTCTCTACAGTCTGGAATCAGTGTGGAAAAGGCAATGAGTACCACTTATGCCACTGGAAGTATGCATCAATGACCATTGATAATGACACGATAGTTTTCAGTTTCGAATATTTTTGTAGACTCAAAAACAACCATTGCTCAGAAGGGGCACAAACAATAAATGTTTACAGTGACATTTGGGGTAGCCGATGTGCCAATGTACTAAATGTTTACTAAAATGTTTAAAATGTTAACGAGCCCTCTTTATGAAACAAAGGGGACAAAGTGTCCTACTGGAGGAACTGTGAGAGAATAGGTATAAACAAAAAACAAATAAATTGTACTTCCACATAACATCTCATCTACAAATGGGTATAACTGACATTTCTCAAATCATCAATGCATAAATGCATATAGAGTCTCATTACCATGGTTATTTATTAAAAAACATTTTAACTAATAAATGTAGTGAAAAGTGTGAACACATTTACTCACCTGCACTTAAAGTCTGTAGACCCAGCAGCCAGGAGAACATTGTTGGGATGCCAGTCCAAGCTGAATAAATAGACAGCAGAGAGAGAGAGAACATAATGTGACTATTTCTCTGCTTATGCCAGTGTTGATACAAATACTGGATATAAACCTCAACCCACACTTACATGTCCTAATTACTGCTACAATCTCAATTTTGTTCTGTACCTTTTGAACAAAACAAAAAAGCTAAGAAAAAAAAATTGATAAAGAATTTTGGATGCAGTTTCATAATTGTTTTTTAACACTTACAGTACTGTCAGCGACTTTAGTCACCAGGTCATAGTATGCGCTCACTTCCGCTGTCGACATAAGTTGCAGACGCAACCAGGAACACTAAACATAATCATAATCAAACAACAAATGGACGCACTGCACTGAAGTAAATACCAAAGGAAGTCACTCTATACGATAGCTGAATGGTTGATGAACCTCTATGAATTTTTCAAGCGTGTTTCTTGGGCTGCCAAGGTTTCTTTTAAATTCAGCGTTCTAAACTGGTGTGGTACTTGAGGGTTTTTCACTATATGAGCCTTCGGTATTGTAAGTGTTAAATTAGCTTTTTTGAAATCATTGAGTCCATTATTAATACTACTACTACTAAAATAATCATGGGAATTTATACAGCACCTAATCTCCAGAAAGCTCAAAGTGATGTACAATACAGAATTATCACTCAACTTAATGACAAATTAAAGGTCAGCAAATGCACATAGTGAGACAATTTAACATCTCACTCGCTCACTCACACAACATACAGTCCTAAACATATTTTCACAAACAAATTTACTGACAGAAGATATTGTTGAACAAATAACTAACATACGTATTCATCACCAAAATGTGAAGAAGTGTTCAGAAATTCTTTAGATGTATTTTTAACCTTTTACTTTTGCTCATAACTTTAAATATGAAGAAAAAGGCTTTTAAATCATTCTTTTTTTCGTTAAAAGTCACTTTATATTTCATACCATGTAACAGTGGAGCGAATTGGCTTCTTGATGTGACGGCTGACCCACCAGTCATTTTCAACATCATAATAGCAAATAGCAATCAGACGAGATCCACTCCCAACTGCAAATTTGTTCTCTAGAAAAAGAAAGAAAGAAAATTAAATCGTCCGTTGAGATGATGGACATACAACATTTACAGCTCAAAGAGCAGATCAGATAGGCGTTGTTCATTTTTCCACGTAATTTGTCTCAACTTGTCCTTGTCAGATATAATCTGGCAAGAATACAGTGCCTGAGCACATCAAATATTTAGCTCATATTGTAGTTTCATATATGTACTGTGAAGTGACTTAACTGGGTTGTTGTTGTTGGGGGGTTTTTTTTTGGGGGGGGGGGGGGTTATTGAGTCAGAATGAAGCAGAGCAACAAAGTTATGACTAGCTTGGAGCTGAAGGGGGAAAAAAAGATATAACAGAAGGGCAAGAGAGTTGTGTCCTCAATCCATCTCATAGATCATCTCATTCATTTTGAATTAACATGTGGATGATTGAGTCAAATGATGAAATCAGTCAATAGTCTAAGAATCTGAAATACCTTTAGGAGACCACTTCACACATGTAGCAGCTCGGTTGATACGAGGAATCACCAAAACTTGCTTCCACTTGTTCCCTTCTAACATCCAAACAAAGGCATTACGATCCTGAAAAATAGTTTTTCTACTTTAAAAACAACTTCAACTAAAGGCACAAGCAAAATAAGAAATTAAAAGTAAGGAGAGAAATCTGAGGCTACTTAATCAGAAACAATCTTAACAAATAACACAATTAGTAATAATAAGAAGAAATTCAAATATCTTAAAGGTTCAAAATATTTATTCAGCTACACTTAGAAGATGTAAAAATTCCAGTTTCTACACAAAGAAGATAAAAGTCTTTCAGATCAAAGATCAACAAACCCAAAAGCAAGAAATATTTGTTTACCCCCCGCAGCGGTGCCACTGACTGAAGTGTCTTTAGGCCATTCCCAAAGGGGGGGACATTTCTCGTTCTAGTGCCTAGTAGAATTATAAATGGGCTGATCCAAGAATGTCATGCTTATAACAGTGCCTAAACTACAACAGGGAACTGCTGCTTTTTCTTTCCAAATCCTTAATATCGTCATTTTCTTCTACTTCTTTTGTATATTTGTCACACTCTTGTGACCTGCTATTTCCGGGGTGCCTTTATAGTCGAAGCAGACTTTGTTCTGTTGAAACTAGAGAGGTGAGCAGAGTAAGTCTGATTCCCTGTAAGGACTTCTCTGTTGACATAAACCCCTTGGCGCTCATATGACCTTAAGCAGTTGCTAGCACCGTTAAACCTCTACTAAAACACACCAAAAAAAACAATAATTGTTTGGGAAACAAACCAGTTCCAAAAATATTGCTAAGCTACTTAGAGATCACCATCTGTGGATTACTTTCTCGAGGCACACATTTTCAAGACCCGTTTAGCTTTCTACAGAAAATTTCAAAGAAACATCCTCATTTGTCCAAATGGAATACAACTTGATTCATTTGGTATACACATACGTATTGTTATAAAAATCACTATAATCGTTTTACCAGCCATGACAACACATTTCACAGCATATATATTCACACTCTTGTTTGTCCACACAAAACTTACAGCTGAGCAAGTCACAATGCGGTTACTGTTTGGCGCCCAGTCAATGCCAGTGACCCGTTGCCCGTGCTCACTGAGAGTATCAGTCTCCTGCCACTTAGCCCCGGACTTCTTGTAGATTTTCACATTTGAATCATTCAAGGACAGGACAAGACCTGAAAAGCAGAAAAATTATTGAAACATTTCAACATAAAGGAAAAAATAAACAGATTTTTATTCACTGGATGTGGTATTTTACTCAATTCACTTTAAAAATACAGATTATATGAATCAAACAGTACAGAAATAACCTTAACTATGATTTCTTATTGTTGCACTTCTTGTATCAAATGTATATCCCATCCCTAATTCATCACACTGTGTAAATCAAGAGTACAAGAATCTTCTGATTCCCTATAAATATACAAAATGCTAGAATCTTCTACTTCCCTATAAATATACAAAATGCTGAAAGGTAAAATAATGAAGTCTCTTATGTAGGCCTATATATCTTAAAGTTGTCTTGATGGGAAAGAGAGTAGGGTAGTGACAGCACAATACTTGAAATTCTTTATATCGTCGGCCTGGTGATAAAACCGTCTAACCCACAAAATATCAAAAAAATTTTATTGGCCCTATCGATAGTAAATTGTCCATTTCATATGCTCACTCAAAGACAGATCTCAATTGTGTCTAGAAATGTCTTTAAAACAGAAATAAAACCGCATAACCCGGCACCCATCGGACTTTAGCCCGATAATTCCGACTATCCCACCTGCGAGGGACGGAATGAGGGTTGGCTGTTTTTATCGCGCTAACAATGAGGGGCCACTTGCTACGTTACCGACTAACCCCGGCTTCGACTCCTCTCCGGACTTCATTTGACATCAGATTCAGACCTGTAATAGTCCAGAATTTGCTCACATAACCGTCGGAGCTCTCCAAAAAGGAATATTTGTGTAATATTTCTTGTTGGTTTCATTGGGGAGTTATATAGATCTGGTTGGTTCCTCTTTTTTCTTCGTTTTAATGCTGCTGATAATGTTATTAATGACTAAAACTCCCCACTGTTCCCACAGAACTGTTTATCTCGTGACAATTTCGGTATTTGAAATGCATCTTTATGGATTTTGTTTTATATGAAACTATGTTTTCTGTCCGCGTGTTTTTCTTTGTCTTTGTACTCGAAATTCCCCGATTGTGAAGGCATTTTCCCCTATTCGGACTACTGTCTCTTCTCCTACTCATTTTTCCTTCGCAATTGAATGGACGAAGTAGATAGCATTTCCTCCTTTACTAACTCACTCCAAAAAAAATTGTGGGACCTGTCTGCCTCCAACGATTGTTGTTTTTTAAAGTGCATTTGCTGTGTTTATTGCAGTCATTACCTTCTGAAACATCGTTCGACTTTCTTTGAAAGTTCATTTCGTTTGTGTTTTGAGTAGATTATTTTCTCAGTGTCATAACCTAATGCTTTATCTTTATATCAAACCTTAGCTTACATAATGCTATAACATTCAATAAAATGATGCCACTCTTGCTGCGTCATCTCTTACTCTCAGCGCTGTGGAAAGTGATCAACGTGACCAGGCTAATGTCACATCAGCTCACAATACAACAGTTATGTCACCTTTGATCTCTGCAAAAAGGACATGAAAACGATTGGAGGGGTAACTAAAAGGAAGAGGTTGAAAGAACTGGGGATGCCTCTACCCATGTCAAGGTACGAAGCGAGCAGGACGTGAACTTGACGTCCTTTGCAGCTGTAAACTGGTTGGTACAAAATTCAATGACATCACTGGTCACTCTCTTGGAAAGAAAAGAGAGCCTACGTATATGCCACGATAAACATGATAGACAAAAAGAGATCTTACACAGCAAGGGAAAACCCAAGGAGAAATTACAGCCTTCAATACCACTTAAAAGAGTCAATGGTCAAAGAACACCTGTTTGTAAAACAATCTTCAAGAACATCTCAGGCCTGACCAACTGGTTTATTTAAAGTGTCTTCTCCGAAAAAAAACAACCAAGAGGTCCACCCCCTTAGAACACATCACGCCCACCATGAGAGAGCCAAGGATGACAAGTTGTTCCATAAAGAGGAATATTTTGACAAACTTTCGAAGATATCCTCCTGTCTACAGATGACAATCCAGAAAACGTCAGATCGGCATCAAGTATACATAGAGAACTTTGCAGAGAGGGTGAAAGCCACATTGAGCTATCTAGTGTTCTGCCAAAAGTTCAAGAAAAACAATTTGGGTTTACTTTCAACCAAGAAAGACCAGTGCGACATTTGTACAAAGTTCAAATCTGGAAACCTCATAGAAACAGAACACACAGCTCAAATATATGAATATGAGGAAAGCTGCAGCTAGACCAGAGAAGGAGAAGGACAGGGAGGCTGTGTGTGTCCTTTGTATGGAGATCCAGTGCGTCCTTCTGGCCTCATCATTAAAGACTTCCACCTTATATAAAACAAAACTGGCTGTACACAATGTTACGACTTAGGATCTTTCCACCAGAGACGCCAGATGATATGTCTGGTCTGAAAGTGAAGTTGGTCTGGGCTTCAACACTTTTCATCATGTCTGACTCACTAACTGATATTGCAAGTGACTGACTTCAACCACTTCATCATCTGCAGTGATTGGCGCAACTACTAAAACAGAAAGCCACCCTGGTGAGTGCAATGGCTTCGCTGGCCAAAGAGCTTGACATCACAGTTGAGCAGAAATTTTCCCCAAGGGCCATACCCAAATGGAAGTGGATTCAGTCCATGGCACTATTGAGCGATCGCTAAAAATGCACTGATGTACATCCCAATGGACTACGTGAACATCATGCTCAAAGCCAGACGCACCCCCAAGGCCCTATGAAGTTATGTACCTGGACCACAGCTTTTTCAAAGATTTCGCAAAGGTCGGAGAGCACTAAACAATCCGTCCAGGGAGAAAAGCAGGCGATCCTACTGTCACTGACTTGCAGGCATCAAAGTACACTCCAGTCTTTAAAATTCAGTACAAGCTGAACTTTGATGATGGATGGCAGGCGCTGCAAGGACCAAGAAAGCTGAACACCATGTGTACGACGGTTACTGCTGGACCTCTCTGCAAAGACAGATTGAAGATAACTGCCAACCAGTATAAACATCTACTGGAGTTGAAGGCCGTCGTACCACGATGCTACCACAATTATCATGAAACTTTGCCTCAGTAAGAAGTTTTGAAAGCGATCAAGCCAAATTCGATTATTGTAGAGTCTTTCAAAACAATGGTAACTTTTATCGTATTGCCTTGTTGTAGCCATAGGACACAGAATGAGACAGACATGCTCTTCTATCGTCGAGAAAACTAAATAAAGTAGTAGTTGTCAAGCCACACACCTTGGAGAAAGCTGGCGCATTCTTTGGTACTCACAAAGTCTTTTTGTAGAATAATGATATATCATTATGTAACCAACTTCTCCAAAACCATTGCTGAGGTAGCAGAGCTTTTGTGTGGCTTTCTACTTTCATTTCTTTCTTAATATTACTTTTTTTCCAGGCCTTTGAATGGCCACCCAGTGTCAATAGTACCGTGTCAGACACGGTCATAAATTCTAAAGGCCTACTGCTGCTGCTGCTACTACTGTTTTTGTTGTTGTTGTAGTTGTTTTTGTAGTTGTTGCTGTAGCTTCTCTCCCTTACCCTTCCAACCTCCTGTTCTTCTACTTTAAATGTAATTAATATACCCATTGCTGTGTTCTGCTTCTTCTACTTCTATTAAAGGTTCAACTTTGTGACTGCTGTTTTTGCCCGAATTGACCCCGTAGCACTGAAATGGCAGCAGCTGATAGTATGTTGGTAGCAATAATATAGTCCTCCTCCTCTTCCTTCTTTTTACTCCTCCTCCTCCTTCTTTTTTCTCCTTATCCTCCTCCTTCTCACCCTCTTCCTCCTTCTTCTTTTTCTTCTTCTTCTTCTTCTTCTACAAAAGATCTTGACGATTGAAGCAAGTGATCAAATACCTTACCGTCAAGTGTGGCTTGGCTGCACTCAACCAAACTCAAGGCCAGCAGTGGCTTCCTGATAAAACCGGTCAACCCACAAAATTGAGGGTTGGTCGGTTTTATCCAGGAAAATTTGAGCGACATAATCGTCTAACCCACACAGTTTCATTAAAAGCAATTTTTTAAGGAAAAAAAGGTCTACAGATTTTCGGTAAAGTGTTTTTATAGGTGTTTAAAGCATTGATTTATCGTTAGACGCCTTTGTTTTGAAATAAAACAGTTTTTTCCTTCTGTAAAATTTACCTCGCTGGGGTTAGTCGGTTTTATCACAAGGCCGACGATATACTTTGTGATCACTTTTCAAAATTCAGATATTAATCTCAAAGCATACTTCATACTAACCAGTGCGTTCTTTATTGAAAGAGTGGCAGGTCACTGGAGCAATTCCAAATTCGTGTTTTTCCGACATTGTTACTCTGTAATGAAACAAAAAAGCAATAGATGTGTGAAACAAAGAAGCATAGTACAGTTAAATACATATTACATATTATAAATCATTTCTGATTTCAATCGACTTAAGACAATTTTCTGACACATTCCTGTTCACCAAGCCTATGGCATATTCATTCGCTTTTTTAAAACTGAATCACATTTGGCAATGTATAACAACTAAAGTACTAGACCACAGTGAAAAAATGAGACTGAGCTGAAAATGAAGTTTGTCATATATATAGAATCACAGAAAGCATTCACTCAGAAGCTGTTAATAAGATGTTAATAAAGATAATTATCCGATTCTTCTGGGAAATAAAATGGACATTTGCAGATAATCACTGTGGAACTCAAAAAGTTTTAAAGAAAATCTCAAAGTCTAAACTGTAATTGTAAAGCATAAAATTGTATGGGAAAATACAGGAAAGGGTAGGTCGACCAGAATCTTTAGATTCCATGGGCATTCCCCATCAAGGCATTGTGAATGCAAAATCACAATATAATAAGAGTATAAAACTACACTAAATAATAGTAATCTGGAAATGTGGTTGTCCAATCAGCAGACCCAAATTCCCAATAAAATGTTGGAAAGTGGAAACATGCAGCAGATACAAAAAATGGCACAGCCTACAGTCCAGGAGTATAATAAATAAGAATGTGTGGTAAAACTGGTTAAAAGATACTGTTATTAACATCTTATATTAGAATTAAAAGTGAAGCTATGTAGCGAGCACCAAGCACACCTCTGTGATTGGCCCAAATATAGATGATGTATTTCCGCCATCTATTTTTGTCGTCTTCCAGGGCTTCCCTCGCCAGTTGACTAGATCTAGAATCTAGATCTCACTGTGGCGGGCCTGCTTTGCCGCTTAGTAAGCGATCACTAGGTTTCATCGCCGACTGCTTGGGCTGGGCTGTGTGAGCATTTGTGTGTGTGTGCGCTAGTGTGTGTGCCCATGCATGTGTGTGTGCGCATGTTTGTGAGGGCAGCTTTGTGGAGAAAGTAAATTTATAGAACGAAAATTGCTGAGATTGTTTATAAAAGATAACACAAATTAATACAACAACAAAACAAAAAACACGGCGAGATCTAGATCTAGTCAACAGTGACTGGCGAGGGAAACCCAAGAGTCTAGGGGGAAACCCCGGAAGACGACAAATATAGATGGAGGAAATACATCATCGTCATCTATATTTGGGCCAATCAGAGGTGTGCTAGGTGCTCGCTGTAGCTTTATGTGTTTTGAGTTTAAGTTTCATGAGTTGAGAAAGAATGACAATGAAAACATGATGCGTCTTTACTTTTAAGGGTGGAGGTAGCAGTGACATTAGCTTATGATACAGTAAGGGGGAAATAAAACGGTGAGTGTTCTTGTGTAACAGTCAAAAATATCTAGAATCTAGACTAGATCTAGAGTCTATGTGCCAGACCGTGGCAGTTAATGAGGTCAAAAGGCTGTGACTCTTGTGCGTGAAGAAAACACGAATGGCGCGGGTGGTCACATGACCGACCCATTTCTTCTCAGTTTGGATGCTATTGCAGTGATCTCCCTTGATTTGTGTGCCGGGACCAGGTCGAATCGCAATGCCTCTCGATTGCCCGCAGTGCTGCAAGGCGCCATGACTGCGTCATTTTTTTTTACGGTGCGCGGCAATTATGCCCTCACCGCGTCATTTTGCCTGCCCAGTACATGGCATTCCATGCTATGGTTCTTTGATAATACAGAGAGAAACTTGTGTTACTTGCATACTTTACTTGTTTTTCATTGTTTTCATTCATTCATGCTTTCAGAATGACCACTCATTTTGAAAATAATGAAAACATTTATTGTTAAAAAAAACAAAATACAAAATAAGAAATGAGGTAGTAAAAGGTCTCTTACCCCCCCCCCCCCCTCACCCCTCTCTCTCTCTCACTCTCTCTCTCACTCTCTCTCTCACTCTCTCTCTCTCACACTCTCTCTCACTCTCTCTCTCACACACTCTCTCTCTCACTCCCTCTCTCTCACACTCTCTCTCTCACTCCCTCTCTCTCACACTCTTTATCTTTCTCACACTCTCTCTCTCACACACTCTCTCTGTCACTCTCTCTCTCTTCTCTCTGTCACTCTCTCTCACACTCACTCTCACACTCTCTCTCTCTCACACACACACACAAATGAATACAGCAACATCAGTAAACTGACTAAAACAATGTAGTGCACTTCTCTCCCCCTCTCTCTTTCTTTCTCACTCTGTTGACCCCTAAACCCTGCGCAACAGTACTGCCCCGCTACTGCACAAAGTATTTGTCATAGTGCCCTTACCGCGACATTTTCTCTCCACACATGAAAAATGCTTGAATCGCGAGACATCATGTTGCAAAATCATTAGTAGCCATTTATCCACCAAATAAATAACAATAAACATCAATTTATAATAAGGAAACACCCTTTTAATATGTGATAAAAAGTGCAAACGCACCTGAAAACTAAAAAAGTGAAGTCAAAATTGGTACGACAAAATTTCGACTTCCTGGTTCGAAATTGCCACGTGTTCGCAATGGATCCGGAAAGAAAGAAACGAAACAGGGCAAAGGACATCACTGCAGTTTTAAATTTACAAAAACAAAAGTAGTAGGTAAGAAATTGCTGAAACTAGACCAACTGCCACGCTGGGGTCACCGCCGCGGTCGGGCACATCGACTATAGATCTAGATAATAATAATAATAATAGATAGCATTTGTATAGCGCATATCCCCACTCATCAGCAGGCTCTATGCGCTTTACACTAGATCTATATTATTACCCCAGCAGACCATCATAGAACACTCCGAAACATTCTCAGCTTCCCGGGAAGCACAGTGCAAGCAGCCGATTAAGCGCTCAAACACTAACAAACTGACAAGATCTTTCGCTGTCTATAGCCGGGTACTCATTCCCACCTGGGTGAAGTGAGGAAAATTCGTGTAAAGTGCCTTTCCCAAGGACACAACATCGGGCCCTTGACGGGATTCGAACCCACGACCTTACGGTTGCGAGTCCGAGAGCCTAACCACTAGGCCTAGGCCACCGACGCCACATAGAATCTAGAATCTAGATTTAGATCAAGACCAGTAACACTGTACTGTAAGTGTCGATCTAGATCTAGATTCTAGATCTAGATCTAGATGTAGATCTAGATATCTAGATCTAGATCTAGATCTAGACTAGATTAGAAGAGACGAGAGACCTCTCAGCAGAGTCTAGCCTCTGACTCATTTTTATTCGTTTAGCAAACACCATTCTAATAATAATAATAATATATAATATACACGTTTAATGGGGAATACTTACACTTGTCAGAGATTTATGAGCAGAATAACACCCGGGAGTGGAATTAGGAAGAAATTCGCGGACTCTGGTCAGTCTACACGAATTTCTTCGTTGAAAGAGGAGCTAAACTAGGAAGTAAAAGTGCACACAGCACACAAGACTTCAGAGAGAAACGACCGGCCCACCGGAAACCGGAAGTAGCAGACGTTGAACCTGAGACCACGCCCCCCAAAATAGAAGCACGTACGTGAAAGAAATGATTCAAATTCTTGTTAAATCCTACCATAGAAGAGACGTCACTAGATCTAAATTTTTAAGAACTGTGAAAGTTAACGTGGGATTTTATTTTCTTTCTTTAATTAAAGTATTATATTAGAAACATAATGATAAAAAAGATATGTCTCAGAATGCAAACGAGGGTTTGTACGCCTTGTTTGTTGTGCCGCAAGTTGAAGGCCAAGGCTAGCCAAGGCTATCTGATATAAAATTCCGACCAATCACAAATACACAACAAAGCAAAATAAACGCACAGGGAAAACCCATTCCCGCACATGGCAACTTCCCAGTTCCCAGATCCGCTGCTAGCCGACTTACTCTTTGACTTTGACACCACTGAAAATTTTAGATTCTACTTATCAGTTTAACTCTGCTTTAGATCCAGATATAGATCTAGATCTAGATCTATTCTGAGCAACCTGATCAGTGATGAGGCGTTCATAGAAAAATTAACTACTACGGTTTGTGATAAGCTGATGTTGTACCAAGTCTTGAGACGTATTTATAAGTTGGAATAGAAGAGTCAGTGTGAGCCTGGACTTGACTCTTCGTAAACCTCGTTCCAACTTCAGACATTTCAGTTTATAAAACTATGAGGAGTCAAACGAACTACATTCAATTGGCATTTATTGCTTTCCTGCTTTCATGTTTTGTGGTTAGCCTAACACATGCAAGCAATGAGGTTGGAGAATCTGGAGATGACCATGCTGACCCACACAGAGAACCATCCTTATGTGAAGGTAAGACTTTAATTTTATTAATAATAGTGTGCATATTTATTATGCTTGTTCTGTTTTAAACTTTAAGTTTAAGGTAAAGCTTAGTTTTGATGAAATCACAGCTGAGCATCGCTGTGGTAATAATTATTAGATTATAATTCAGGATACGGTCGTTCAGGATATATGTTCTTCTTCAAGTAGCAAATGTCGTCATATAAGTTATAATCGGGTGGGGGTGGGGGGGGGGGGGGGGTTTGCATCTCTAGTCTACTCTAGATAGAGTGACCAGAATGCTGGAACCTATATAGAGGCCTAATATCAGCAGGTGAGATGATAGCAAATAGGCTACTATGAGGGTTTAGAGGAATAGAAACTGGTGACTGGACAGACATACTACATGTGTACACATGACATGTGTTTGCTTTTTGTTGTTGTTGGTTTTTTTAAGTCAAAGTATTTACACAATGAAAGATCAATTTGAATATGATTATAATTTTAATTAGAGGATAGAAAAGGGATGTATATGGAGAGAGACCGAGAGAGAGAAGTGAGGATTTTTAACAATATGAAGTGTAGATGAAAGAAAATTTTAGGAGGAAAAAGATTATAGGCCTAGAGATGAGATATATATTCAGTTCCATCTTAGTCTAGATTGAGTTTAGGTGTTTGCCTTTCATTCAAAAGGTCCCTGGATAGAAGGCTGATAGGGATGGAAACATTTTTTACTCTACAAATTTTTTGTTTTCATCTCCATTCCTATTCTCTATTCCTGTATTCTATCATCTCCACTTTCTCCCCGCACCCCCAGCCTCCTCGGGGCTCCTCTCTCCTTTCTCCTGACTTCTTCTTTGCTGTCTTTCTCAGCCACATCCCTGATCTTATGGTAGGTAAAATGGAACACCAAGTCTTCTCTGATAGTAAGAAAAATCTTACAGGTTTTTTGTACATTAAGTTGCGTTGCGCATGTCAAAGGTCCCTTTGTGGTCCTAAAATTGATGAAGTAGGCTTCAACCACCGCTTGGGGAAATTTCAAAATGAATTCCTAGCATAACTAAAAAATACTCTAGTCAGTTTAAAAACAGAGTTCCTTCGAAATTGAAATATGGCTGCCTGAAGGCAAAGCAGGGGCCATATGAAGTATGAAAAACGGTTACTTTCATTCGTACTAATCAGTAGAACTGCAGGTTAAAGAACTAGCAGTCAACTACCCTTGTGAACTAGCAGGGGAACAGAAGGAAGGAAAAAAGTTTCACCTTGAAAGATAGGCCTATGTATCACAGTCAAAGCTGTCCAAGATGATCATCCATTGTCAAGGAGAAAAGTCATCATAGGCACGACTGGTATACAGTACAACTCGGATTCAACAAAGTCGTCGGGCCTGACCTTCAATTTTGTTGAGTCCGGGTGCTCGTCATAGCAAACATGAGGTTTTTATGTAGATAATTACAAGCACCAAGCAAGCAATGTATAATGCATTCGACTTTCTCAATCAAATGTAGAGGCATTTTTGTTTCTTTGATACCGAAGAATTGCTGGAAAATTCCAGGAAAATGCACTGAACTCTACCAAGCACACACTGTGCAAAAGGGCCGATTTGTTAAAATGCATGCCTGTGTCATCTATCATCTGTAACGTATTGTTTGCCAAACATAACAAGTTATGTTGTTGTGTAGAGCATAGCATATGGCAACGCTTGATTCCACAGTCCATTACGTAAATCTATGTCAAAATTAGCGTGTCATTATGATTTATTGATCAGTAGCCTGTGGGGGGGGGGGGGAATAACTGTGTCGCATTTGTGTCTCTACTGACATATTCCACACCCAGACCATTTTTACCCCTCCCCCCAGACAAACGTACACACAGTCACATGTCACACGTGTGCTGGCCGCCCGTCTTACCCCGACTTCGAGCTAAGACACGGGTGCATGATAGCAACGCGTGTGTTGGTATGAAGGGAGGCGACTGATTGGTCACATAGAGCAGTTCACCTTGCAAGTGACTTCATTGAATCCAAGCTTGCCCATTTATGTGTTAGTTGAATCCGAGTTATTTTTTAAATTTCTATTAATTAAAAAACTGGGGCATCCAACTCCTTTTTTAATTGATTCCTAGTTCGTTGAAACCAAGTTCCACTGAATAGTGAAAAAGACGCAAGGGGGTAAGTGGGAAGTGGGTGGTCTTTTATGCAAGTGATTGTCTTGGACAAGTGGTCGATAGAGCAGGTTCAGCTGTATGTGTATATATATATCATGTATAATATGAGAAGTGAAATCGGACTCTCGTCAAAACAACGAAATCAAAGAAACTAGCACTTTTCTGGCCAGTGGGAAATGTTTTTCCAAATTTTCATTTTTAACTTCCAGTTTCCCAAGACTCTAAAGCTATGGAAGTCTCCATACTTTGGTGCTAATTTTATCGCTAACTTTTACCTTTGACACCAGGCGACCCCCACCTTCTTCGGTCACAATTATCTTGACTTCTATTCAAGATAGATGGGGTTTTTTTTCACTAAAAGCAAGGCAAATAGGCTTTTAAATGATACCAATAACACTATATGCCCATAAATTAACGAGGGCCTGATTCCAGTGTCATGACATATATATCTGTTTATTCTGTAGTGAAAGAGAGACAGGACATTAGAATTATACTTATTCAGAGTTCCAGTTAGAAGAAAAAGAGATTGGCGCACAACCACTGGTACACAACTCTCTACACACATGCATTCTCTCTCTGTGTGTCTCTCTCCCTTTGTCTCCATCTTGATCTCTCTCACTCTGTCTCTGTCTTTCTCCCCCTCCCCCCCTTTCCCCATCTCTCTCTCTCTCTCTCTCTCTCTCTCTCTCTCTCTCTCTCTCTCTCTCTCTCTTTCTCTCTCTCAAATGCATACACGCACTCCCATGTATAACATATAGAAACACTTTTGTACAACCACTCACGGATGGGTGACTATTTGAAATAAAGAAATACATGTACATGGAGAGAGGAAAGAAATACCCTAAAAGTGGCTTAGAAAGAGGTGAAATAAAATGCTACGCTCTGAGGGTTCAGATTTTTGGTCAGGACTCTGACAATGAAGAGGAGAAGTGGAGTAGAGTTTAAAAGGAGGTGGGGGGGTCAACAGCAAAAGAAAATATTTGTAAAAATATGTTTTTGAGCCTGAATTGTGATGTCTGCTTGAGCTCACTCCACTTTCACCCATTTTTAAATCATATTTTTTGGTACTAAATCTCTACACTTGCTCTTGCTAGTGGCTGCACGGTACTTACAATTTTTTTGCACAGATAGACAAAATTTCAATTTCACGGCCACAAGGGGTGATTCAGACATGTCATTTTTCCTGAAGTCTTGGATTCCAAGAGACAGAAACATATGAAGTGAATGTAATTTTTTCTCATACCATTCAAGGAGGAAAATGTGAACACCATATTTGTTACTTCTGCTCTTTCCAATAAGTTGACTCCTCTGTGGATGACTATGAATATATTGTTCATGATGTCTTTCATTTCTTGTTTCAGTTTGTAAGTATCTGACTAATGAACTGAGGGAGAGGTTAGATGAGACAGGGAAAACCCATGAAGTCTTGGAAACAGGTTATAGAATTGACCAGAAGAAAAAAAGGAAGGAATATAAGAAATCGTAAGTGCCTCCTTTCATTATTATAGATTATGTCTGATTCCTTCTAGAAACTGAGTTTTCACTTTGCATATATTTTGATTTTATGCTTTGCTTAACAAAGGTAATCCGTAATAGACTCTTGTTTATGTTTGCTCTCTTTATTCTAAAGTCACAGTCAAGGCTAGGTTGGATAATAATTTTTAAATTTGCCAATCTCAAAAGGTAAGCAAGGGTCGGGTACCTCTTTTCCTCTGTCCGTGAAAGTTAATGCAGATTGGAAATTTGCATGGAATCCAGCTCTTTTGGTTAAAAGATGAGATGACAAAATATATGATATGTGATAAGAAGAAATAATATTATACCAAGTTGAAAACTTAACAAAATAATGTCAAGTTTTGGAAAGTTCTACATTTATTGCAGGCGTCCTTTTTAAGGTTTTGTAATAGATACCCCAAAAATTAGGCACTCAAATGGTACTTAAATTGAATAAAGGAAGGTTCAAGTATGTCCTGTTATAAGTTCCAGTTGTAATTTGGGTATTCTTCCATTAAATCTTTAGGGTTTAAGTTTGTACATCCACATGTCTCCTAGTTTGTCATCACATTGTTTTTTGTTAATTGAGGGGTTGAGAATTGCCTCATGTTGATCACAAGAATGAAAACCCTGTAATGTTTCAGCCTACATAAATATGTTTACATGTGTTTTGACTTGAGCAAGTCACTCTCACTTGTGGGGTTGAAAAATTTATCCACTTTTTTGTGCAAGTATTGTATCTGATTTTATGATAATTTTCTTAGTTTTTAAACTTTCTTTTGAGAGTGCCTTTTAAGTGTGTGGGTTTATTATGGTTTAAAATTATTGTAAATGTTTATAAGTCAGTGAGTTAAAGAATGCAATGAAGGCAACAAATGTACAAGAGAGAAACATAAAGTCTTTGTAAAACCAGATTTCAATTGTACAAATCATGACAAATTTCTCAACCGTGAGATAATAGGCTACAGGTTGTCATAGTTATTGTGTGAAATTGTTTCCAAGTTATTGTTTTTTAACTGAAAACACCTTAAACTTATTTTGTTGCTTCTTGCTGCTCATTTTTGTTGATTGCATTCAGTTCTTCCATAGCTCTTTGTATTGTGGATTTGCACTTTTTTTCCAACAATATTGGTGAGCTCATGTGTATTTTGTTGCTATCTTTTTAAGTTCTGTTCAGCTTAAACTCCATTTATTTATCGTGTTATTATCATTCCTGAACTTTTTTTTATTTGGTTTGTTTTGTCACAGAGAGCTAAGACTGATAGAAGCAGTGAATGATCCTCACATATGTGAAAAGATTTTAGAATACAACATCCATGCTGAGAGGAAAGGTAGCCTGCGTTTTGCCAAAGGAAGAAGTGAAACTATGAGCACACTTCATAATCTCAAGTAAGTTGCTGCACTTATCTAATGATGCCAGAATTATTATTGTGCTCTTAGAATTTGTATTGCTTTTGTCATCAGGTGCAGTCAATCTTTAAGAAAAAAGGACTTTTCCAGCTTACGGTGCATTAGTTAAAGGTCCATTTTTGACTGTATGGCCACAGAAAGCCAAAGCTTCACATTTAGACAGGAATTGCATCTTTACCTGCTGCAGAACTAGGTCCAGTGAAAATGTTAAAAATTTTCGACTCTGGAAAGGTGTCAAATGAAAAACAAATTACCAACAAAGTAACACATTAATTATGGTCAAGTGTTATTCACATTTTTTCGGAATTATACACACAAGAAAAAAATTATTACAAAGTGAAGTGGGCTCTTAGGCATAATTGCTCTTTGCTGTGCATGTTTTGAGATTGAGACCACCATGTTAGTGTGATTTTTATATTCACTGTGTCTGATTTATTTTGTCTTATAGAGACAAGGGTGTCAAAGTGGAACTGGGCATTCCGTATGAGCTGTGGGACACACCTTCAGCTGGTGTAGCAGACATGCAAAGAAAGGTAAGGAAACAGGAAATGCTGAAATGAACTCTTGTTCAAAGGTACAGTCAGCACAGGATGCTTGTGAAGTCAAGTTGTATGACGGATAATTTTTTTAAAGGATTTCTTTTGCCTTAAATGTTGTTTAGTAAACCATTCCTATTTCTTCTAATATATAATGGGGGTGGGGGGCTAGAGGTATGATGCTGGCCTCTAGTGCTAAAGATTGTGAGTTTGAACCCATTCCATGCCGACATGCCCAATTTTCTTTTTTTCTACTTCTTCATCTACTCCTGCTCTTTTTTTCTCCTCTGAAAAGAAACAAATGAACAAAAAAAAGATGTTTAAGATCCCTTGATTAAAAATTGTAAAATGAGTATGCCATTATTGTTATTCGGCCACTCATGCAAAATTTTAAAATTCAAACATTTCCTACGATATAAAATATCCCTGTCACACCTGTAATATTGTAAGACTCACACAGTACTCACACTTAAACCTTCCTTAATTCCAAACAAATTCAACATGTCTCTTGTTTGGACCATATTAAGGACATCAAGATCGAAACGGGGGGAGTGGTACTTGGGTAATCTACTTCCTCTAAGTTTGCTGCCCAGGCAAAGTTGTGACATGCTGTTTTAAGATATCTGTCAAGATGCAGAAGGCAATAGAATGTTTAGGATCATGGAGGTATGGGTCTCAGTATATGAGCTGAGCCTTGAAGTGCTGAGTGCTATTTAAAGAAAACGTTGCCACAGATATAGACTGGTTTGCAATATGTCCATAACTCTAGTTGAATTATAATCAATTTTTAGCTTTAAACATGATTAATTTGCTTTTTAAGCATGTTTTACAATAACTTTTTGCTTTACTTTTCTTTTTGTTGTTGTTGTTTTGGGTTTTTTTGGTGCATCGTCTCACCGTGAAATATTCTTTTTTTTTTTTTCAGTGCTATAAAATTGTGGAAGAGTTTGAAGAGGACATTGAAGACTGGTATTACAATTATCAAGACATGGACCTCACAAATTTCCTGTGCAAAGACAAAGTCCTCAAGAGTAATGATCAAGGTAAATAAGTTTTGTTTTCATTGAAGCAGACACACACAGAAATATGTGTAACTGTGTGCTAAATTTATATGTTTTATTTTTTATATTATTGAAGGAAATTTGTTATATCAACATCCCTTTCCTTTCACATGATGGCCTTTTGTCATGACATAAAGATGAGACGAGTCATCCTTTTAATGCAGTCTTGCACGCTTAGAGCGAAAAACGCACAGGGAACAGATTTTCAGGCCCGAATTTTTTTCTTCTACATTAAAAAAAATAACCCATATATAACGTAAACAATTCATACATAATGAAAAAACATTGAAGTCTTTGATTCCAGGTAGGGTGGAGAAGTCAGGAAGATTTAGTTAGCACAAAGATGAATTAAGGGAAATGAATACTATATCTTTTCTTTTTGAATAATACTCTTAGGAACTTGCCATTTGCATATTGGCATAAACTTTCATAAAGTGTTAATGCACATTTTTATATGCTTTGTTAAGGTGTCAGTTAGCTTTTCAGCACAGCTAAAAAATGCATCGTTCAATTCATAAATAATAAGTTCAATGTTAACTACATCACAACGATATTATGAGTGGGTTTCCTGCACCAGACAAGTGAACATCAAAAGCGAAGAAGATAGCCTCTTTTTGTTAAAGAAACATGCTCATGATATGGATAGTTATTCCAGAAAATTCTCAAGTTGATATAATGTTGTGATCACTGTCAGTCATTCAATGATTAGTGATGCTCAAGGGTTATTTTGATTGCACTTCTGATTTCCTTCATTGATTTGTATATTGTTCAGTCAGAGGGTGTTTTATGTCACAAGTCAGAAATGGCTGCAAACTTGCGTTTTTTGGGGGGTTTTCAAGTTACTATGGAAGCTCGATAGGATTTTCTTAACAGTGACCTTTTGACAAGCTGCGCTCCAACTCATGAGTTTGATCAAAATTGAAAACTCAAGAAAAAAACTGTTTTGCTCAAATAGCAGGGACTGTTTTACGGTTTTCCTTGTTGCTTTAAAGTACACCTGTAAAGATATTTGAAACTCCTTTTCTATGTTACAGAATGTCTTGCTGAGGTATGGACTGGAAAAGAAAAAGTAGCTGGAGCCAGTACAGAGGAAAAAGGTGAAACTGAAGTGGAAAAACCACCAAAGAAGAAAAGTAAAAAAACCAAGAAAGGTAAAGATTTTTTGTGAGAAGTTTTTGCTGTCTCTGTACTGGCTTAGATACTGCTTCATCATATTGCTGTTGAATGTAAGAAACTAAGTGCTGTCTCGCAAAAAATTCAAATGTGAAAAAAGATGGATGTTAGGCTCTTACTCTTACTTAGAAATCTACCTAAAAATAGAAAAGAAAAACAAATCAGGTGTTGCTTTCTCAACTTTCTGTGTCAGGTCATGTTACAAAATGGTTTAAAATTTACATTCTTTTGTCAGTTTTGACCACCATTTGCTTTCTTTTTATCCAGAAAATGTTCCATACTTAATGCAACATCAGTCTTTCTTAATATAGATATGTTGTCCTCCTTCTTTTTCTTTGAAGTGAACTTTTTTTTTTGTCAAGCTATGTCTGTTGAAGTTGAAATACCAGTGTAGGAGTGTGTTGGGGGGGGGGGGGGAGTCACTGGCCTATTTTTCAAATTTGAAGGCTGAAGTTTGGACCAAATTCTTTTACGAGGGGCTCTCGTGGCCTTGAGGTTAAGGTGTTCGCCTCTCATTCAATAGGTCCTGGGTTCGAATCCGGATAACGATGGACTATTTTCTTGTCTAAAATTTTCTCCTTCCTCATCCTTTCCTGCTCCCTGACAATCTTCTGTCGTCTGTTTTCGTCTCCACTTTCTGCCCCCACCCCTTCGCCTCCTTTGCCCCCTCCTCAGGGCTCCTGACTCTTTTAACAGTCTTTCTACTCCTTCTCCATGTTTGGCTCCTTCTTACTGCTGTCTTTCAGCCACACCCCTGATCTTATGATGGGTAAGATCTACACCTAGCCTTCTTGGACAAGGGCGAAAAATCTCAGAGATGCTGTGTGCAAGTTGCACTCGTTAAAGATCCCTTGATGGTCCAAAATCGATAAGAGTAGGCTTCGGCCACCACCTGGGCAAAATTCAACATTTCCTACCAACTGAAAATGTTTGGTGTGTTCCACTCGCTCATATGCCCCCCGGCAAAAAAAAAAATTTGTTTTCTTATTTATGCGTCTTTGGTGGTCAGATGATAAATCAGTAGTTTGCATCACTCTCCACTAACTACAAGGTTTGTGCTCTATAGGTCTAATTTTTATATTCTGTGATATAGGTGTATGTAGCATATAAGCGTGCCCGAAAATAACTTTCGCAATAAGCATAATATAAGGAAAGGATCATTGGTCCAGACTTTTTTTTGTAACTTTCTGTTTCATCTTGAAACTGGCCTAAACCTCAGTTTGTATGCGAACTTCTGTCACTTGTTCCCAGGTCCTAAAGTAAATCTCTGTTTCGGTCATGTCCTTCTCACAATCATCTTTGTATCTTAATATAAGTTGAATTTTTCTTGTCTTTCCATTCTCAAGTTTTATACTGAGGTCTTTTTGCATCTTCCTTCTTTCATGCCATGAACATATCTTCTTTACCATTTGAACCTGAGTTGCATGAGCACCGAAAAGACAATGGGAATGAGAAATCTTTGTAGTACGTGCATGGTGATAATTTTTTTCGTACCATACTATGTTGAACAATTTATTTTTTGTGACCTGAATTTCAAGTGTTTTTTAAAATAATATTCTAATTAAATTTGTCTTTTTCAGCCAAAAATAAAAGCAAAGGTGATGAGGGCACTGAAGATGCAACAAGCACAAAGGGAACAGATGAGACAAAACGAGATGAACTGTGATCAGTCTGCCAAGTTATAAATTTTTCTGCCTTCCAATAATTGTTACTTTTCTGAATGTTGACTGTTGTACCAAAATAATTGAAATTTTTAACTTATGCTCTGGTTTTGTCTATGAAACTCGGTGTGTTCCTGTGTCTCTGCCTCCAGCCATTTTTCCTGTCAGGTTTGTACTCCGGATATATCTGTGCCGTGCTGTAGAAATTGAGAGATACCAGGTATCTGAAAAAAAGAGGACCCATTCAAAAGGCAATAACTCCATTATCTCAGGACCAATTATATCAACAAAACTTGGAACAAATAGAATTCAATCAAGGGGTGTCAAATTGCTTGACATGAAGAAAATCAAAATTCATGTTCAAGAAATATTAGGTTTTTAAAATTTCAACCAAATTTGACTGAATTAGAAAACTTTATAACTTCTTAAAAATTAACAATAACGTGTATTTGTGTATAAAAGAACACATTCATATAACATTGACATTGTCCTATAAACTCAGGGAAAACGGTAGCTATTTAAACTGTATGCTCCAGGTGTTGACCGTTTCCCTCCGACAAGCTAAAAAGATGCTGCTGGAAATTTTGAAAAAACCAAGTGGTATGTTTCTGTGTTCTCTTTGGGCCTCCTGTTCAATGTTGAATTTCAACCTTTCAATTGTTTGTGGGTTGTTTTGGTAAACTTTGTCTGTCAAAAAAAGGGAATAATAAAAAACGTTCAAAGGGCCGAAATGCAGTGACCATCCATTTGCAGGCTTTTGGCTCGTAAAGCATCCCCCAAACCTGTCTTGGAACCATGCAAAGGCCACTCTACATGCGTAGGGTGAGGCCCCACCATGTTGAAACTGGGCCTCCTCAACAGCATAACCCCTTCCCTATGGTGAGATATCCATCTAATATGACGGACCTGGTTTTACCATCCCTTTCTTGACTCCAAAACAGGGTGATCACCCCCTGTAGATGAACGCTTTGAAGAGGTAAATTTTTGCGTTTTATAAAATTTGGGTTAACATTATTCTAAACATGATAGTTCTTTTCTTTTTTTTTTGCTAGGTGTTTTTACGGCGCTCGCAACTGCATAAGGTCATGAGCGCACGGGACACTCCAAACATTTTCAGTTGATAGGAAATTTTGAATTTTTCACGGATGGTGGCTGAAGCCTACTCTTATTGATTTTAAATCACCAAGGGATCTTTGATGTGTGCAACTTGCACACGGAACCTCCGAGATTTTTCGCCTTTGTCCGAGAAGGCTAGGTGTAGATCTTTCCTACCAGAAGATCAGGGGTAAGGCTGAAAGGCAGCAGTAAGAAGAGCCAAGGAGTAGCAGTAGAATGACTGCAGAAAGAGTCAGGAGCCCAGAGGAGGGGGCAAAAGAGGTGATGGGGTGGAGGCAGAAAGTGGAGACAAAAGCAGATGACAGAACATTGCTAGAGAGCAGGAAAGGAGATAAAAGGAGACAATTTAAGAGAAGAAATTTTTTTTCGGCGCTACCCGGATTCGAACCCGGATCCTTTGAATGAGAGGTAAACATCTTAACCTCTAGGCCATGAGAGTCTCCCATGACAGTTCTTGAACCCATGCATTGATTTTCTTCATATTGCCCAGTTTGGCGTCCGCTTTGTTAGATTTTATTTGTTCAAAGTTCTTTTTAAAATCTGTGCCATGCTGTCCTTTTAAAAAAAAAATAGAAACACTACACTTTGTTACATGATCTTCGTCAAGGCTAGAAATAAACTTATTATTTAGTTTATTAATTATGCTGTGCAAGATGTGTCAGCCTTATCTACCATATGAAGTATTCTGACTGATGGTCATACAAGTGCCGTGCTTTTTAAATTTTGTTTTCTCCAGAAAGGTATGAACTGACTTGTTTTCTCAAGAAAAATGGCCACTGACATTTCCACGGGAATTCCGAGTCAATGTTATCATTTGCTTTATCATTTACAGTATTATACAAAATTTACAATATCTAAGTCTGCTTTTCTGACTGTCTGCATTTTTTAGTTTTGCAGCTATTTGGACTTATTATTGTTTTGAACTTTGTGTCTCTTTCTACATTGTAAAAATATTTCATAGACAGGCTAGAGCCGCTGCAAAGTTGTTGAAAAAGTAGGAAAATCAGTCATGCAGGTTTAAGATGTGAGCATCTGGCATCATGCCAAAGAAACCCAAACTTTTCCGCTCTGTTACACGGCTAGCTTTTGGTGAATAAAGTTAGTTTACTCATATAAATGTGATAAAACCTCTTTTTTAATGTCTTTTCTATTTTTCATGGATATACTTTTAGTTTTGGAAATGGTCCAGAATGCTTTTTTTTTTCTTCATGGAAATTTCCTTTTATACTTTTTGGTAATGTATGTATTCTTTTTCAGTTATCAGTGCCTTCAATATCCAAATTTGGACAACTATTTCTTCTTAGAACTCTGTGTAATTAAAAATTTGGGTGCATTGCTTCCTTCTTGAGGAAGCATTGATAAGATGAGAATAGACTACTCTTGCTTTCCTATGTTGTAATATGATTTCAACCATTTGTATGCTCGTTGCCATTTCTGTTTGACCTGCACATCACTTACAGGCAGAATCTTTCTGCCTCATCCATGTTCCAGGACATATATCGGCATGTAGGCTCCTCTGTCAGTTCTCGTTAAGCATTTGGTCTCCTTCCCAATCGATAAATGTGTACACGTTATTTTGCTTTGAATGTGGCGTTGGTGGCCTAGTGGTTAGGCTACCGGACGCGTAATCGTGAGGTTGCGGGTTCAGGGGTTGGAGCCACGGGCCCGACGTTGTGTCCTTGTGAAAGGCACTTTACACAAATTTTCCTCACTTCACCCACGTGGGAATGGATACCCGGCCATAGGCAGCGACAGATCTTGTCAGTATGTTAGTGTTTTAGCGCCAGTAAATGGCCGCTTGCACTGTATGCTTCCCAGGAAGTTGAGTTTGTTTCAGAATACTCTCAGGTCTGTTGGAGTAATAGTATAGATTGTGATGCGCATAGAGCTTTCTGTTGAGCGGGGATTTGCGCTATACAAATGCTATCTATTATTATTAATGTTATATCTATAGTGAGTCTTCTACTCTGCCACTGTATACTTCTAATCATAATAGAATCTCAAAATTACATTTTGTGGTGATGAACACTTTGTAAAAAGGTATTAATTATAAAATTCAACGACAAGCACATCTGGTCGGGGTAGGCAGTTTAATACTTAACAACTGGCACATACTCTGTTCACATTATCTGCTCGGAAGAGACACAAGTCTTCCTGTGCTACCATACCCGTATATTACAGTGCTGCTAGACTTGAGAGTAGCTTTGGACCGTTTTTACATTGACCGATGCTCCTGTGTCTATGACAAAGCCCATTTTAGACTTTTCAACAATGACTGAAGTTTGCTACGTTTTACGTGAAGCATTTAATGTGAAAACCTTATCTGAGCTTGTCTCTGGACTCTGGACTGTTATTTCTAGAATGGTCAATGGTTTTCACTGTCGTCTTCTGAGATCGACAGACTAAGGCAAAGGGATTGTTTTTCCCACAGTTATGGCAAACTTTTCTTTTAGCTGCACATGGCTTCCTCTGCGGATGAGGGAAAGTTCCTCCACAATTCCTTTATTACGTTGAATTAGAATTTCTATGTCTAGATTTCGATTCTATCAACGAAGGTGGTTTTGATCCTTCGCCTCGACATCTTTTAGGTGCTGGTTTATGAAATCTGTCTTTTGTTTGTCTCCTAAAGACGGCTGATGCATGATCAGTAACTGCCTCCATCTCTTGTGCCTGTTTACTAGTTAGCTCCTCGTTCCTACTTCACTCAAGAATTGAGTTAACGTAAGTTTGTCTCTTGGTGCTCATCGTCTTAATTTGCTTGCTTGAATTTAATCCCTCTATTAGTTCTGACAAAATGTCTCGATCGATGTCGGTAAACTTGCAAAGTTGACCTTGAGCCCTCAGTCGGATGTAAAATTCATCTACACTTACCCCCTCCTGTTGCTGCATCTTAAACTTGAAAGACTCAAAAATGACAATGACTTTTGGTGTAAAGTGCTCTTGCAATGTTGCAATGAGAGCTTGAGAGACTCAAAGTCCTTGTCTTTTCCCGGTAGCGTATTGACCATGTCAAAAATTTCGTCCCCGCCATAATGGAGCAGGAACGCATTCTTACGTTTTGGACATGATATTGATATGTCCATTGCAGAGTTAAAAGATTCTTTAGCTGCGAGATCCATTTTTTCCAACGACTACCTGTTGATGGATCTTGCTCCCTGATTTTAAATGGGGGGAAAAGTTGGTAGCATATTGGTCATGATAGTGGAGAAAGTAGTAAATAAATATTCACCATCAGCGTCTCGTGAGTACTAACAGGCTGAGTTGAATAACTCACCGATCCTCATCTCCAGTATAAAATTCAACGACAAGCACATCTGGTCCAGGTAGGCAGTTTAATACTTAACAACTGGCACATACTCTGTTCACATGCTCTGCTTGGAAGAGACACTGACCACATGGTCTCGTGCTTATATACTGCTCACAACACTGACAAAGGTAATCACTACAAAAGAACGAAGGCAACTCCCAACAGTAACGGGTGATAACTAAGAATAATGAACGAGGACAACTGGACACTGACTTATTGGGTTAAATCCCTTAAACATGTTTGACAGTGACAACACTACATTAATGACCAAAGATATAACCTGCAACTGTTGGATGTATATATGTTTAATTACAGTATAAGCTTATGTCTTTGAGAAGAAAAACTTTTTTTGTTTTTGCTTATTTTAGAAGATTGATTTTTCTGCACTAAATTTGGGTGTAAATGGAGCATTCTGTAAATGAATATTGGGGGGAAAACAGGGTGTTCCAGATTTTTTTCAAGATTTCGTGTGTTCTTAATTTGGGCATAAATAGAGTATTTTGTAAAATGAATTCTGGGAAAAAAAGTGTTCCAAGATGAGGCTGCTTAAAGAGTGAAACGAAAGATGCACAGTTCTGCTTTTTTGTGCTGTAACAATGTTCACATGCAGCATGCTTCCTTGGACAGGCAATAAAATTAGGGTGTTTGCTTGAAAGTAAGTGTTCATCTGCACAAGTAAATGACTTTAGATTTCAGCCAAATTTGGCTGCTACTCATAGCTGCCCTCCAAATAATAAGTAAATTAGTATTAAATACGGTAGTCTCTGCCTTAGATGTCGGTGCTTGGGAACAAGGAAAAATCTGTATCTTAAGCGAACAGGATTTTAGCCAATGCACCCAGGGAAGATTCCGTACTGACTCATGTTCTGCCCCACAATCGGTAAGGACCAATGACAATGGCATAAGGGCATTTTCATTTAATCCAATCGTGAGTCGCATGATTTTTATGCTGATCCTATTGCTCCTCCCTTGTACTTATCCAAAATTGATAGCTTTCCATGTTTGACCGAATTCCCCTGCCTCTGCCATAACACTCTGCCATTGTGTTGTGACTGTTATTACCCACTCAGTGTACGATGTGAGTTCAGGTGGAGAGCTCAGATTCGAGTGAAATTTTGGGAGGAAAACTAACACATCATCGATTTCACACCTGGGTGTGATCTTGTCTGGGGCAAGAATTGTACCATTGCATCAAGATTTACAATGCACATGTGATCACAAAACTGTATGATCTGTGAGTAAGTTTTCACCCATTTTTTTTTCTCCATTTTTTGTTGTTCTGTAAATTGTGATCTTAAGTGCGGGATCTCAGCCAAATGTAATCCTTTAGAACGGGATCTTAGGGGTCACTTTTGTGTACTAAAAATTATGTTTTCTTAATAAAGCTGCGGGATCTGGGATAGTAAGTAGCATGATCTTAGGCGGAGACTACTGTATTTAGAATTTTTTGCAAAATAGTTGAAAATCAGTAGGCCTACTTATAAATGGACGTTCTAGAGGTATATTTTCAAAAGTTTCTCGAAATGACCACCTTCTGGTGGATTTTCTCAGAGCAACACACATTTTATAACTTAGAATCATACCTGAAGAAAAGAACAAGCTATGTAAAACAATGTATGCTGAACCCCAAGTTTGTTTACTTACATGGATCTTGCAAACAAAAGATGTTTTTCCTGTGGTCCAGTGGGTATGTTCAAGAGCAATTAAAGCACCACAAATAACTGAAGATTGGTTTTCATAGATTATGTTATACAGTTCAAAAGATTTCTTATGCTGTTTGCTTACTATTTTTTTCCATAGAACCTCCCGGATATTGCATGTTTTATGTGACAAATGCTTCAAGTGCTAATCGTGTTGTAATCTAATTAAACTGTGGATATTGCAAGTTTGTGCCTTGTTTATTTGAATATATTGCTTGCTACTCTCATGTCATGTATGTCCTCTTAAAAGAATCATTGAAATCCATCAGAGCATGTACAGTACACAAATACAAATATTTCATTCCTCATTAATGGGTTGCATATTTATTTTTTCTATAATTATCATGACAGAATGTTCCTTTGTTTAAAGATGTCTTTATGTAAAAGGTACCTTTTAAAGAAAAGATTATATAGACTATCTTATCTTGATTATTTATGACGATCACAATGTAATTGATAAATGTTTTTCTAATTTTGCAATTATTAAGTTTTCTCTGCTAGCCTTTGATATCCACCCAAAAGGCTCTGGGGACTTTAGCTGGATTTATGGCATCTCCCATCACCAAGGTGGTCCTTTCGTTGAGCTTTTGGAGTATTTATTGAAGCACCTGTGTCCCCAGGGTTCTCCTCTACTCTCTGCAACTATCTCCCATTTGGTTCGCAACTGCTTAGCAGCTAACCTCCATGTCTTGAAGCCATTTCCCTATTCTCCAACCGATGTTGTGATGAGATGGGGAACCACACTAAATCTTTAGTGCCTCCCATAACCTATAAGTACTTACTAAGATATTACATTAATAAAAAAAAAGTGGTGGTGTTTCAAGTGATAATTACAAAAAGTTAACATGGGATGTACACATGAGTGTGAATGTAGGATTGGACTTTTTCCTTTTTTTTCTAGTTTGTTCATGGGCATATTTCATAATTGTTAAATATTTATGAAGGGAACAGAGAGAGTGTATTCTTTATCTGTACAGGGACCTTTGTCATGTCACAGCCACTATACTATAACTATAGATTATAGCAAATCATTTGTAAATATATTTTTAAAAATGTTTCCATCATTCTGTGATTGGTGTTGTGTTACATGTCTTAAGTGTTGAGAAGTAATTATACCCTCTTGACAAGTGCAACCTCGAAATGCAACGCTCATGGTGAGCTTTTTTTTAACCACCATATATGTGAAATCTATTTTCAGCTTTCCACATTGTGCTTCTTGCAGCATAGTTTCAGAAGCATTGAAGGGTTTAAATTTGAAATAACTTTTGTTTGTGTGTTTGTACATGTATACTTATATGTGAGCCATTCTCAAAATGTCGACATAAAAAACAACTTCCTAAATTCCGGACAGTTTTTATACTCCTAACGCAGTGTATACTGAGTATTTTGTTTTTAATCTTGATAGTTGAGAAGACAGACACTTACAACACTTACTCAAGAAACTTAATAAATTTTTAAACTCTACTTCTACTTCTGTGACTGACCCGCTGGTCAAACTATGAGCACAGCTGACATTCATATATATTGCAGCTTGATATTTTTTCTCTCCCACCATCCTTGTTGACGTAAACATAGATATTCTATCTAAACTCTGAAAGTTTTTCGTTTTCGTAATCATGATATGGAGCTTCTTTGCATAGGATTGTGTAGAGTAGTTTGTGATAGTTCACCGGTTAAAAATAGTTGCACTCTTTGTAACCGCTTCTCATTAAAAGGAAAATCTCTACTAGAATGTATTTGTAAGGTACCGGCATCAAATTCTAATATGTTTGGAAAATCATGATTCTTATGTAAATTTTACATTTGTTTTGTTTTTCATAACTGGAGGAAAAGAGACACTCCTATTAGGGTTATGTTCACTTTTTTAGAAAATATCATAGATATGTTTGTATGAGTGCATGTACGCTTGCATGTGTGTTTGTGTGTGTGTGTGTGTTTTGAATGTTTAATAATCTTACTTTTGCTAGTTTTGTTTTCTGCATTATTTTGAAATGACTGTCCTAATTGCATTCATATATGACACATCTTAATCAGTGATCGGAACTTTTCATAATACTATTTGACTGGGTTCCTGTTACACAATACGATCATGTCACTATGTATTATTGTGTTTGTATTTCTATTCATGGCCTGAAGGCCAAAAAGCTTTTAATAATGATCCCCCGGGGCAGTGCCACTGACTGTAGTGTCTTTAGGCCATTCCCAAAGGGGGGACATTTCTCGTTCAAGCACAGTAGAATTGTAAATGGGCTGATTCATGTCACACTCATAACTGTCCCTGATCTACAACAGGGAACTGCTGCTTTTTCTTTCTTAATCCTTACTATTGTCATTTTCCTCTACTTCTTTTGTATGTTTGTCACTCTATTGTGACCTGCTATTTTCGGGGTGCCTTGATAGTTGAAGCAGACCTTGTTCTGTTGATGCTAGAGAGGTGAGCAGAGTAAGTCTGATACCCTGTAAAGACTTCTCTGTTGATGCCCACCCCTTGGCCCTTGGCGCTGATATGACCTTATGCAGTTGCGAGCGCCGTAAAACCCTGTACTATAAAAAAAAATAATTTAAAAAACCCCTACTATAAAAAAAAAATTCAATAAGGAGAGAGGAAGTGTCTCTTTTTTCCACTTGATCTAGGTCATTAGAAGGTTGTACAAATGAACGCAGTGCACTGCTTTATTTACATACAGTATAGCTTTTGCTGAAGGAAAATTGTCCGCTGTTGCTGCCCTAAACGCCAGATGGCGTGGCGGGTAGTAAGTCTGTAAGTAGAAGGAAAATCGAGAGAAGAGATTTAAAGAAATGACGGGTGTACTGTAGTAAGTGACCCGCCGCCTCCAACTTCCAACCCTATCCTGTGCCCTATATAAGGATAGCAATTGTGTCAAGATGCGGTGGAATCAGGCTCTCGTCAATTTTTCGGCATGTGGAGTTATTGGTATCACCTGAAAGCTGACATATTTGCCTTGCTTCCAATGAAATAAATATCCATTTATCTTGAATAGGACTCAAGATATCTGCGATTGAAGGAAGAGAGGTTGCCTGCTTTCACTGGTAAAAGTAACGAGAAAATGGCTGCCAAAGTTTGGTAACTCCAATAGCTAAAGTTTTTTTGTTTTATCCGGCGCTTCCTTTTGGGTGTCGCGGGAAGAAAGAGATGTCTCTGTGTCGCCAGCCGGAGAGCTTGGGCCAGGGGGATGCAATGGGTGGTTAATGTTTCCCTGACTCCATGTATCCAGTGTAAGGAGTCTTAAAGAGCTAAAGCTAAAGAGTCTTTGAAAACTGAAAAATGACATATTTTGTGCCTTTAATCAGTGTTTTTCAGTAAAATTCACATAGAAATGTGATTTTTATATAAAAGTACAAGAGGTTAAACAAAAAGATAAAAATTCAATAAAAACTACTGAACTGTTGGAAGAATGCCTGTTTCTCCGATTTCGTTATTTTGACAAGCACCTGAATTCACCAAGCTGCCTCACAATTTTATTTTCATTACGAATTCAAGCTTATGCATTGATAAATCAGCATGGCTGGCCCAATGGGTTTAGACTTTTTTGTGTGCGCCTACTATATTATACTATATGCACTCTCTCTTTCTGCTCATTTTCTACATGAGTGTGTTTATGTTCTTGTGTGCTTCTGCATATGCCCTTGTCTGACCGACTCTTACTTGTGTTTGTCCAAATGTAGATGGATGGAATGAGAGAGAGAACAGACAGTATGGATAGATTGGTGGATTGTAAAGGTAGATAGGTAAATAGATACATGTAAATAAACAAACAGGTACCCTGAGGAGGCCCCCGATCCCCGTCAAGCATCATCAGGCAGGCTTTAACGTGGAACCCACAAGGAAAACGAAAGAAGGGAAGACCAAAGATGACATGGAGGCGAGCGGTGCAAGCTGAAATTGAAAAAGCGGGGACACCATGGAAACAGATAGAAAAGGATGCTCAGGACAGGCTTCACTGGAGTAATGCTGTTGATGGCCTGTGCTCCACTGGGAGTTACAAAGGGCAAGAGAGAGAGAAACAGACAGGTGAACAAGTATTCATTTACAGTAAGTACAATGGTAAGAAAGTTGATAGAATTTAGAAAGATTGCGAGAGGCGAATTACAGAAAAGAAGAGAGGATAGCTGGAAGGATAATGTGGATAATAATTGATCTGTTAGAGTTAGAGAGAGATGGAGAGAAGAGGAATAGATTGACTGGAGGATAAGTGTTGTGTAGAAGGGACTGGGAGTGTTACAAATATTTCTGTTCAAATCTGTATGGACAAGATACTGAGTTGAAAAACCCTTTGAAGACAATATATGTGCATTGTTACACAATAATAGAAGATTAATTTTGTTCTAGTAAACCCTGATTAACAAACCCCATGCAAGTTATTTACTCTCTCCATGGACTTACTTTTGATATATGGTATTTATATCACATGGTCATATAATTCCCTGCATAAATGTTTCTGCTTTTCACATAAGTGTCCCCTTTACATACTAAGAAGTGCTTGCATCACTTTTTGACATGTCGTCTGTTCCATCAGTATTTTTTGTTTGTTTGTTTGTTTTTATTTTAGGATTACAGCCTTGGCTCACTTTTATGCAACAGATTGTTGCTGTTTGGCAATTACTGATGACTGAAAGCGAGGGTTATGAAGACTTTGAACCCCTATCTTGATGTTTTCACAAGTTGTTTTCTTTACTGGCGCCATTCTCTAAATTACACTATATAATAATGCTTGTGGCATGTGGTAATTTGATAACTGATAGAAATAAATAAAACTATCTGACTTGAAAATTAAAATCAATAGTTTCCGGGGGGGAAGCAATAGATCTACATGTACTATTTTTTTTATCTCATGAAATGCTCTTGAGTGACATGTTATCGTGTCAGTTTTAGTCTCACTTTTGAGAGCTTGGGGAAAGATTTCACCTAATTTTCTGCTGTTTTGCCTCGTGAGATATTTGGAATCACTTAATCCGGTCCGTGATTTGGACCGACTTGCTCATGCGTGCACTAAGCTCTTCTTTGGACGGGATGAAAAGCTCTATTCAAAGCAAACAATCTCAGATGCATTTAAAGTAAAGGCAGTATATATGTGTGTTTATCTGTTAATAAGAAAATACTTTTTATATTACTGAGATGTGCTGCTCATTGTTCACCTTATGTTTGTTTTGGCATTGTTTTAATTATTTTTTTAAGAATAAAAGTTCTGATGTTGAGTTTCAGGAATTATTTATTTCCTCTTCCAAATGTATTGTGTTGTCTGGGTTCACATTAGTTACTTTAAAAAAAGAATTAAAAATCGAGGGTGTTGTGATTTTGATCTAAATCTAGTTTCAGTCCTATTGTCAACCCCTCTCCCTTCCCCCTCCCCCATTCTGTCTGTCTGTCTGTCTGTCTCTCTCTCTCTCTCTCTCTCTCTCTCTCTCTCTCTCTCTCTCTCTCTCTCTCTCTCTCTCTCTCTCTCTCTCTCTCTCTCTCTCTCTCTTTTCCTCTCTCTATCTTTCTCTCTCTCAAAGCCTCACACACACACACACACACACACAACCACATGCTGGAAGTATAAAGGGCAGTTCCAACTTCTTTCCTTTCCCTCAGGAAGTTACACAATAGAATATAGAATGAACGAACTACGGGCGCACAGCAAAACTCAAAGCCGGATATCAAGAGCACTGATAGAATCACTATTCTGAGAGATGATGCAAGCAAAGGGGAAGCCTTTCTTAAAAGATACATCACACGGACTGATCAGTGATCAGGGTGATGCTGAGACAAGGAAAGAAGTATGTCAAATCTCAAAAGATGAACTAAATTCCCTGAATAGAAGAAAATAAGTCACGATCTTTCGCCTGCGAACACAACACATCCCACTGAATTCCTACCTAAAAAGGGTCCCCAAGGATACCCCCACCCGACTGCCCGTTGTGTGACTGCCAGGATGAAACAGTATCACACCACCTCTTTACCTGCCCTGCACTTTGCGACTCGCGTAGCACCTATACCTACCTGCCTCCCCAGACACCAGAAATACTCTATAAAGCGACAAAAGACAGCTGATAAAAATCTGTAAATTCTTTGCCATATCGACAGGCCGAAGGGCTAGAACTCAAATGGCCGCTGGGTCGGAAAAGTAAAGCAAGTAAAGTACCAGAAGAGTGGTTGCACAGTTACGGTACATGTACAGTCAAACCTGTGTAAGACGGCCACCCATTGTTAAGGGGGGAAATGGCCGTATAAGACAGGTGGCCGTCTTAGGCAGGACTGATCAAGATAAAGAAAATTAACCATTCCCATCTGAGGCCCCAATGGAAAGTAGCCCCATTATGTTGTCTTTGTTGGTGTTGTTGTTGTTGGTTTGTATTTCGTTTGTAATTTTTATTTTGTCGCTGATTTTGCACAAAGGTGACAATAAAACGAAATGTATCAGACAAGGAAGACTGAGTGCCATGTTAAAACAAAAACATGGGTCGCCACCACTCGGAGAACGAGTGACGCTTCTGTCACAAGTTCATGTTGACGTTCTTTGTTACTTTGTTACAGACTGGGTAAACAGTGACCACTCATCTCACGATTTGTGTATGAGTTCTGGGCGGGGCTTATGGGTTATGAGGGATCACACGCTTACCTCACCAGCAGCTGAAAATTTGTAGCTATTGGTCAACAGTGGGAGGGGCCTACGCAGCATGATCGGTTGGAGGGACTACCTAACAACAACGACAGGTGATTGAATTATGACAGCTCGCCCACAACGCTAGGGGCCAATGCACAATTTATGACAAAACGTAATGGAGTCACTAAGGTGACCGTCTTAGACAGGTATTATTGCTTAGTATGATATGGGTTGTGTGTTAAATTATGGTGGCCGCGGCCGCGATGGACAGGTGCCCGTTTTACACAGTTAAATTATATAGAAAAAACGCAAGGGGGGAAATGGAAAGTGGCCGTTTGTACAGGTGGTCGTCTTATAGAGGTGGCCGTCAGGGCAGGTTCGACTGTATTTAAAGCCACTATCAAAATCTGGGAAGAAAATCACAAAGAACTCAACGGATACCGCATTATCACCCAGCAAAATGTGTATGGAAAAGAGCTAGAAAAAAATGCATAACAAGAATACTTATGAATGAGTTAGAGAACAATAGGAACCTACCTAAGGAGTTAGGGAGTAACAGACAAAGAAAGGAAACTTTGAACAACGCGGAGACCTTCGCGTATGATGTATATGAAGGCTTTCAGAAAGGAGAAGAGACCGCGGCAATAGCATTAGATCTGGAAGATGCTTACAATCTTGTAGATAATGAGAGGCTAGTGTGTGCTCTGCTAGATTGCGACGTGAATCCGTTGATTGCAGGGGCAATGCCGGAAAGAACAGTACTTAGTGGCTTTGCGATGTGGTCAATGGATTTTAAGCCCACAGGTGATAAGACTAGGACTCCCACAGGGCTCACCCTTATCGCCTATACTGTTCAATGCCTACACTGCTCGTATAACAACGCTGAACAGCGTTCGGCCAGGGAGAATACTAACATTTGCAGATGACATCTTGGCCTACAGGCAAGGACGGGATCGGCAGAAAATGACAGATGTTGAGAAAATCATGGAGTGGTGTGCTGAATCGACCGCAGTGATCAATCCTCAGAAGGCCGCAGCACTGTTATGCTCTTAAAACAATCGAATAGTAAGGGGCTGCAAATATAATCTTACACCTTTTGGGGGACTTTTTGACCCCCCTCCTTCTTACACTTTTCTTACCCCCCCCCCCCCCCCCCAGTAATATTACATTGTTCGCTTATAATACTAATAATATGACATTTATATGGCACAAATCCGTGTTACAATCATTGTTCCATGCGCTTTACATAATATTCATGAAGAATATCCTTATGTTCCGCGCAATTTACAGATCGGTTTAAGATTGCGCGTTTTAACGAGTGTATAATTGCGCTGCAATCTTAAGATTGCGCTGCACATTTTAACGATCGTATAATTCACTTCCATCTTTATTCTTTTACTTACATCAAGGAACATTCACGTATATTTTAAAAAATGCAAAAATATGAAAATTAAAATTAAAATTAGATATGAAACTGAAGAGCTCACAAGAATGATACAATTATTATAATCGTTAAAACGCACAACGCAATCTTAAATTTGCCCCACAATCTTAGGATTGCCACGCAATTATACGATCGTTAAAACGTGCAGCGCAATCTTAAGATCTGTAAATTGCGAGGAACACATACGCAGATACCATACGTATGCACATGATAATAATAATATGCAGTTCTTCTTCTTCTCGGTCGCATCACACTTGAAGTCTGGTATGTATCTGTCATAAATTGCGCCGTCCTGCTCAGTTCATCTGTCGAGTGTCGGCCCGTTTAGCTTCTCTTGAACAGTAGCTCATTCAAGCAAAACATTGCATACACTCTTTCTTACTAATAAGGAAAAAATTGAGACTCATGTCAATTTCAAAAACGCTTTAATGACAAATAAAACAGATTACAGGGGAATTCAGGGCCGAAAAAAAGTGTTAACTTTGAGCAAGGTTGATTTTATCCATTGTACTACTCGCCATTGAAAATTGAAGATGACAACTACAAAATTACAAAGTACCTGGTAACGGGATGTTAGCTCAATTTCAGTGAGTATAATTTTGAAGTTGTCACTAAAACAAGAGATAATGAGTGAACAAACTAATTGGAGGTGTGTGCACCACTAGCTCAGGACCTAAATATCTCTTCTTAAATGAATTCATTTTGGGATATTTAGCCTCAAATTGTTGACTTTACGCAAGGTTAACACTCAAGCGGTTCATGACTGCACATGTATCAGAAGCACAATTACTTAAACGAAGAAGGTAAGAAACGGGACCACAGTGAGGTGTTGACTGTACGCAAGAGTTGACTTTATCAGGATTCCACTGTATCTGTTATTACTGATCATTATACATGAAACAACAAGGGAAATTAGTTAGGCCCTACATGTATCATCAACAAAAACAGTGTTCATCATTATGTCAATTTTTTTTTAAAACAGGGGCATCTGCTGAGCTGTCATCCAAATATGGGTCCTGTTCCAACTTCCTGCTCTGTCTCCTCTTCCTCCTCTTCTTCCTCCACCTCCATTTCTTCCTGTGTAAAGCCCTGTGCCTCTTCCATGCAGCAATACTTGGAAAATATTTTCCACATTCCTTGTGGCCTCGGCACACCATTCACCCTTTCTTGACCAAGGCCATCCTTTTTTTCCCCTTATCTTTTTTCACCTCACAAAAGTGTAATATTATATTGGTTCAAGACCCCCCCCCCCCCCTCTTCTTTCTTACACTTTTCTAACAGAGGCTAAAGACACCCCCCCCCCCCCCTTTCCAGGTGAAAGATTATATTTGAACAGCCCATAAAGACAGACGTCTCTGAGCTGACGGTAATGGACAAAATAAAATATTCAAAGATGTCAGAAGAAGCGGTATCTGGGAGTGGTTCTCGAGCGCTGTCTATCCTTCAAAGATCATATAGATGTTGTTGTGGAAAGGGCAAAGAAGGGCTTGAATGAAGTGAAGGTCGTGGCGGCTTTAGGAATGGAACAAAGGCTACACTTCTTATGTGTCGGCAGATGGTTTTAACAGTAACGATTATGGGCTCGGAGTATTGACCTTAACAAAAACCCAACTGGACAAGTTGGATTGAGTTTGACCATGCGTATCATACTAGGCTGAGCCAGGGGTACACCAGTAATCTGTATGAGACGTGTATTGGGCCTCATGTCAGTGGAAAACAGACACAAAGTGGCTCAGGTCAGGGCGTACATGAGCGTGGCGGCTGATAAGCAACACCAACTTCACGAAGCCATTGGAGCTATCAAGGGAAATCGCCAAAAAAGAGGAGCTTCTTGGATGGCCGAGGCTGAAAACACCATCAAGTAAGTCTGCCCCCTGGAAGATATACAGCGGGGTGAAGAATGGATCAAGATGAATGAGAGACAGCAGGCAGATTTTGGGAAGGTAGTGATTACGCTGAACAGAGAATGTAGAGAGTGGGTGCAGGGGCGACAGATGCTGAGATTGGACAACTGATTGAAGACAACTCACGGCATGGAGATGTGGTTGTATACACGGATGGATCTGTCAAACGAGGGGGGAAATCTGAATGGGGCTTCTCAGCAAGAGTGGCAGATTGGTGAAGGAACAGCAGAGAGCATACGATATGACAACATATCTAGCTTGAGAATGGAGACTGAGGGCTCTCAAATGGGTTACAACAACTTGACAAGCACATGTGATCTTTGTAACAGACTGTCAGAGCACTCTGAGGAAGATTGAAAATGGCAACCTTAGAGCTGAATGGACAGAGCTCCTGAAAAAGACGACACTGAAAAAGATCACGTGGATCTTCACCCCGGGTCATGCTGGAATCAAGGGCAATGAGCGGAACTGATGAGCTCGTTGGGAAAGCAAAACACTAAACTTTTTCAGTTGGTAGGAAATTTTGAATTTTGCCCGGGGGGCGACCGAAGCCTACTCTTATCGATTTTAGATCACCAAGGGATCTTTAACCTGCGCTACTTGCTCACGGGCTCTCCGAAATTTTCACCTTTGTCCGAGAAGGCTAGGTGTAAATCTTTCCCACCTGAAGATCAGGGGTGTGGCTAAAAGACAGCAGGAGGAAGGAGCCAAAGAGTAGCAGTAGAAAGGCTGCAGTTGCAGAAAGTGGAGACGAAAGCAGACGACAGAACATTGCTAGAGATCAGGAAAGGAGGTGAAAGGAGGCAATTTTAGAGTAAAACGTTTTTCGGTCGCTACCCGGATTCGAACCCGGGACCTTTGAATGAGAGATCAATATATATATATTATATATATATTTATTTTTATATATATATATATATATATATATATATATATATATATATATATATATATATATATATATATACAATTCTGATTCTGTTTGTCTTACTTTCAAGAAGGTTTGGTAGGCATACAGGTGTGATCTCCTCTTTTTTAAAATTTCCAATTTTGTATATCTTTAAAAATGTTCACATTATGTAATTTAAATATTATAGATAAGAAGTAATCGAAATGACCGAAAAAGAAAATAGCCACAGGAAAGGAAGGGGAATTACTCTATATTTTCAATTGTCAAATCAACATCATGGCGACTGCCGGCGAGCGCGAAGTTGAGGAGTTTTTGCTGGTATTTTTATTAGACTGTTTGATAATTTATTTTAATGAACTCTTTAGACCCCTATGACAAAATATGTCTTGTTTGTATTGAGCAACAGTTGCACTTTGGGCAAAGGGAAGAAAACAATAGATCAGTCAGGGAAATCTGAGGGTTGATTTTTACCTTATCCACCAAACCAAGTCTGAATAAAACGCTCCTAGCAGAAAGCTTGTTGATGATTGCTATTTTACACGGCCACCTCTGTTCTCACCCGGTGTGCGTTCTCCGTTATAGCCTAGATCTAGATCAATTTTGCGTTCACCCTGAACCACAGAATTCTAGGCGATTTTGTAGTTTCGTTCGTTAAAGTCAAGCAGGGGGGTTTCAGGGGGGCTTGCTCCCCTGACCTAAAAAAAACCATGGAGGTGGGGGGGGAGGGGGTTCAGGGGGGCATGCCCCCCTGAATTTTATCCTAATTTGATGTTTTGCAGTTAGGTTGCATCCCTGCTCTTTGTGTAGCCTAATTCAAATAGTATTTGGTCTTCAAGACTTCTGGATTTCTTCTCTGGATGTAAACAAATGGATCGTGGACTTTAACGAACGGAACTACAAGATCACCGAATTCTACACTGTGATAGAAAAATTGTAGAATTCTGGGCGATTGTTAAGATTCTCGCGTTTAATTCCGATGTGCATTTTTCATACCCTCAGGCATATTTCGCTTTGGTCCCTAACCCTAGGTTAGGGTTAGGGCCAGGGTTAGGGTTAGGGCCAGGGTTAGGGTTAAGGTTAGGGACCAAAGCGAAATGTGCCTGAGGGTATGAAAAACGCACATCAGAATTAAACGCGGGAATCTTAACAATCGCCGAATTCTGTGCTGTGAACAAACATTCCATTACTACTGTTAGCCTAAAAGCATACAATTTTGTCTGTGGGCAGTGGAGAGAGAGAGAGAGCAGGAGTAGTGCGAGAACTTCCGGGCAAAACAAAATGGCGACCCGCGTAGTTCGGCTCGATTCGAAAAGTGAAATAGCCGTAGCATCTTTGTAGGGAAGTGGCTATTCTCACCCGGGGTGAGAATAAAAATACGATCTAGATTCTACCTCTCACCCCGGGTGAGACTTGCCAGTGTAGGCTATTCTCACCCGGTGTGAAACAAGACCTGTTTTTCCTCATTTTGAAATACTGTCTATCGGTGTGGATGATCAAATTGATAAAAGCCAAGAAATAATTACGTTATAGCACAAAAGTAAGCTAATTTGATCGTCTTCAAAGATGCTATGGCTATTCCACTTTTCGAATCGAGCTGAACTACGCGGGTCGCCATTTTGTTTTGCCCGGAAGTTCTCGCAAGATCTACTCCTCCCCTCTTTCTCTCTCTGTCCCTTTCTGAATACTGTCTATCGGTGTGGACGATCAAATTTACCAAAACAAAGTTAGAAAATAATGTTAAAAAACAAAACTAAATTAATTTGGTTGTCTACAAAGATGCTACGGCTATTTAACTTTTCGAATCGAGCCGAACTACGCGGTCGCCATTTTGTTTTGCCCGGAAGTTCTCGCGCTTCTCCTCTCTCTCTCTCTCTTTCTCTCTCTCCACTGCCCACAGACAAAATGAACGCTTTTAGGCTAACACTAACAGTAGTAGTAGATCTAGAACGTTTGTTCACAGCACAGAATTCTATAATTCATAGAATTCTGTTATCACAGTGTAGAATTCCGTGGTTCAGGGTGAACGCTTCACTGGTTGGCCTAGGCTTTAACTATAACGGTGAATGCCCACCGGGTGAGAATAGCCAAAAGACTCGCCTGCGCTATTCTCACCCCGGGTGAGAATAGAGGTGGCCTCTTTGTAGACGACCAAATTAATTTACTTTTGTGTCTTAACATCATTTTAAAACTTTGTTTTGGTCAATTTGATCGTCCACACCGATAGACAGTATTCAGAAAGAGACAGAGAAAGAGAGAAGAGGGGAGGAGTAGATCTTGCGATAACTTCCGGGCAAAACAAAATGGCGACCCGCGTAGTTCGGCTCGATTCGAAAAGTGAAATAGCCATAGCATCTTTGTAGACGATCAAATTAGCTTACTTTTGTGCTATAACGTAATTTTTTCTTTGCTTTTATCCATTTGATCATCCACACCGATAGAAAGTATTCCGAAATTAGGAAAAACAGGTCTTGTTTCACACCGGGTGAGAATAGCCTACGGTGGCAAGTCTCACCCGGGGTGAGAGGTCGATCGTATTTTTATTCTCACCCCAGGTGAGAATAGCCACTTTCATTTTACAGACAGCAAGAGAGAGGAGTTGGCTGGCTGGCTAATTATGGATAGTACCATATATCTGCTTGTTACTTTCCTAGATCTTAATTGATGGTAGATTCGTTCAGTAAGTCTTTTGATCGTTAGTTAATTGTGATACCATTGCTTCAAACGTTGTTCTTCTTACTTTTTGCACAGCCTGTTCCCCGAAGAGAACATGTGGGTCTTCACTGTGTTTGGGGTATGGGAAAACAGTTGCACTTGTTTGAAACACAAGTGCCTCCTGCTTGTTCATCTGGTGAGTTTTGTGGTACTGGCTTGAACTTGAGATTAAACAGTTACTGGTGCTTTTTTGGTAGTTCCCACCCCGCAATTGTTATTCGCCGGTTTTGGCCCCAAGAGTAGGGGGGTTTCAGACCCAGGGCTTGAATTAGGTGTTCAGGAGGGCAGGCAAAAATTGTCTCGGTGGGGCCTAAAAATCAGAAAGCACCGAGGCAATTTTCTAGGGCACCAAGGCAAAAATTATAGGTGATCATTTTGTTGATTAAAGTTGGTAATACTGGATCGTGCATCACAAGGTTTATATTATATAAATAACAATACAATTTATTTCTGCTCTCAACAAAAGTATAGAGTTATCGGAAAATTTGTAAAGTCATTCATGAATGAAAACTAAGTAAATCACTAGATGATCAGAATATTGAAAATATGTTGACACACACAATATAGAAAAAGACGGGCTTGCTGTTTGTCCCTTATGGGAAAACACAAGTGATTTTAAAAAGTATCACCAAGGAAGATAATTTCAGGGAATAGTGCTGTATTATCAGGACGTCTATTTGTGAGACACATCTCTTGCCACTTGGCAATGCAGGGTTCTGGGTTGAATTCTTTGATCTGAAGGACCATTGGGACATATAAACATGATCTTTTCAAACATATCTCTGTAAAGCAAATGCTTTCTGTCACCAAGGATGCGCCTCTTCAAAGAAAACAGGGATTATATTGGCCAAATGAGACAGATTTGGAAATTTCCTGGCTTTTTCAAGAATGAACTTGTCTTGTTCTCACTCAGAGGTAATACGTGTTGAAGCACAGTCTCATAATGAGCTATCAAGTCATCCATCTGTGTCTCACCATATTCTTTCAAATCATCTATTTTGTCAGTTTCAGGCACATTTGTCCTGTCAAATATCCCTGCACTCTTCAAAACTTATAATCTTCTGATGTGCCAGAAAATATTTCTTCCAAGCACACCACCAGCTTATCCAATGCATCTTTCATGTTTGTAATCATCTCTCTTGCACTTTCTCTCACATCTGCAGTCTTCTTATTCATCCAGATCTTTTTTCAAACGTTGCTGAGGTTTGGTTAATGTGAGTGTATTTACACTTGCCATGACAAAATGGACACAATGGTCAAGCTGAGCAGTATCTGACTGAAGCTTTGATGAGATATCAGACAAGTCTAACAGGATGTCTTCATACCCCCCACCATTCTCTCTCTCTCTCTCT